ACAAAGACAGGACTTTGGCCTTTTACCACATTGTTTCACATTGTCAGTTGTTAGTGTCATTGACTCAAGTGTTTGTCACTCGCTGGCTACATGAGTTGTTTGTCATTCACAAGTCAAGCGAGGGGTTTGTCACTTGTTAGTAACGGGAGTCGTTTAGAATTGCTAGTCGCGTGAGTAGTTAGTCACTCGCTAGTCACGTGAGTGGTTTGACACTTTCTAGTTAGGTGACTCGTTTGTCACTCGCTAGTCGCGCGAGTGGTTTTTCAGTCGTTAGTGACGTGAGTCCTTTAAGAGTTGCTAGTCACGTGAGTGGCGAGACACTGGCTAGTCACGTGAGTCGCTAATCACTCGCTAGTCTTGTGAATTGCAAGTCACTGGCATGTCACGTAATTCCTAAGTCAGCCAAGTTCATGTCAACCACCCTCCCTTCCTAAACCTAACTGTGGTCTTGTTTCCAAAAGCTAACCTCCTGAGAAGACGGAGGTTTATTTTGAAAAGACGCCAAGCAGTTGGAAACTCGTCCCTGCCACGACCTAAGACGATTAAGTGGTACCTAGAGCGTCATAGATTGAAGCAAAGGGGCTACTGAGTAAGCGTTCGTATTTGACGAGTTGGGAGGGAGAATGTGATAACTGCACAGTCCAACATCATCGGGCAACATGGTGCGTTAGCCAATCAAATACATTCATCCAGCTAGAAGCATGCAGCCTTCAGACTTGACTTTCTGCTTCATACACACGATGCAGCGCCTCAGGTTTTGGACACAGTGCTATGTTTTGGGCCATATGGGTAAGGTGGAGGAAGGGGGGGGTCAGGAGCAGCTGTTGCTGTGCTCCTTAACAAAGGCTGCAGTTAACCAATTAGAGGATTTATATCTAAATTTAGAATCAGAGCTGCGTCCTGCTGCACACACACTGACTCTGCCTCAATACTGATCAGGTCTGTGTCTTAAAGTGTAGGATTTAAATGTTCCCTTTGCATCGGATTATTCAACAAACTCTGTAGTAACAATGGCACGCACACACAATTCAGCCGTCAGACACATTTTTTTACAATCAACATTTGAAATAATGAAGGCATCTGCAAATGACAAGGTAGTGCAAAATTCATTTTTTACATTTGTGAAAACATTTTTTTAAAGGAACTAAGATATAATATTCCGGCAAAAAAAACCTCCGCCACCTGTTTCAGAGATGATTTTCTTCAGACTCAGGAAATGAAGGTCTAGAATTGTTTTCCCTCTCTTGTCCTTAAGGGCTTCCGTAGCAGCAGTGGAACTAGGGTCGTATACTGGTAATAGAGCGTTGGGAATTCTCACAAAGTCTACTCCGGTTTCTCGGAAACATTCGGGCCAAATGAAATGATTGGATGAGGTAATTACAGTCATGTGCACAGCCACAGATACCAGATTTATTTATTTATTTTAAGGTGTTCCAGTTGGAACACTTTGCTTTGTTGCTCCAAGTGATGCCATAGATTTCCAAAGAGGGATCTCCTCTCCGAAGACCTCAGTCCTGCTCAAATGATTCTCATGTCTATCGATGCTTTTAGGTCACCGAAACAGCTTTAAATGAAGCCAAAGCGTTGACGTTTAATCTCTCTTCACTGCTCTCAGGATATCTGAGCCTTCAAATCGAGGTAGAGTTAGTGAGTAAATTACCTTATTAATGTTACACAGCATGTTGATCTGTAGACTTCAAGTGATATAACACTTTAATGTTAAGTCATAATGTTTACATGCTCACATGAAAAATACATTTATGGACTCTTCACTTACTTTTAAAGTAAGTTGCTTACTTTTCAAGTCCAGGCGTTGGACACCCAGCTCAAGGACAGTCAGACACTAAATATATACTGTATATATATATTTATATATGAGATAAACTAACCTCCACAATGCTGAGGAGGGATTGAAATGATCTGTAATACAGAAAATTAAAGTCTAATTATCTGTAATACAGATAATTACAATCCCTCCTCAGCATTGTGGAGGTTAGTTTATCTCATATTCATGGACTACTTTATTGCTTTTGTACAAGCCCTGTCAAGAGACAAGTTATTAAATGCATTATAAGGAAAACGAAGGTTAAATATCCTGTAAACAATTTGATTTGGCAGCAAAATAATGAATAATCAAATGAAGATTTTTAAGACCTTCTGTTTCTAAAGCATTTCAAAGTGAATTGGCCTTCTTTGCATAATCCCTAGACAGAATAGTAAATAGTGCTTTTATTGGTGAGCTATTTGTCACAGTCGTGATCTTACGTGCCAAGTTATAAAAATTCAGGGGTGCACGGCCACGCACGGAGGCTACGCGCACCACCTGCATCACTGCTGCCAATATGAACTACGCTTAAGTCGGCATGATGTTGGCAGGTGATGAGTGCCACCTGATTTTTGCTGATCGTACTATGGTATATGCCAATTTTTTGTGTCTCATCAGACTAAAGAATATTTCTAATAACATGGGGCTCAATAAATTACAGGTAAACTGGATTTGCTGATATGCTGAGGGGGCCATAAATTCTTTCTAATGGCCATCAGGGGGCGACTCCTCTGCTTGAAAAAATAAGTCAGATTGTATAGAAGTCTATGAGAAAAGGACTCTTCTACTTGATTTATTAAATCAGTAAACATTGTAAACATGAGTTTACACAGTGTACTTTCAGTTCATGAAAGTTAATTGTAACATTTTGGTCGCCTAAAAGTGTCTTCATTCGAGGTTCGATTGTACTTAGCTCCGCCCTCTTGTGGTAAATTGTAAAAAAAAAGTCATAATATACTGATAACAATAGCATGGTTTTAAAGGAAAAGTTATAATCTCATGGGAAGAAAGTTGTGTTATTTAGTATAACTCAACCTGTAAGTTTATTATATATGGTACCCTTGATCATGCGTGAATACATCCCGCCTATGCAGACACCCTATGTAGTATAAACAGTTTAATATGGTGGTAAATGAATATCACTGGCAGGCTCCTGGTCTGTGAGCAGCAGTGACATGTTTTAACAGCTGCAGCAGTGTGAGATTACTGAGCAGCAGCAGCAGTGACCTGCAGAGCTCAACTGCACTTGTCGACTCTGCAGAGAGCAAAACACTCTCAGGGGGACAAATCATGGCGCACCCGGATTTGAATTTGCAGTACGGCGGAGAGCCTTCCATCTTCCCGCACATTTGAATGTTTAAACCCATGTTGAGGATCAAGTGTGACTTTTGGGAAGCTGCCAAGTGGAGAAAGACGTACTATATTTAACAGCTGTTGAACCACTAAACAACTATTTTCTATGTAAAGATATAGTGGAGTAATATAATTATAGTGCATGTTAGCGTGCCCCGCTGGCTAGCTCGCGGCCGCCGCTCTGTACTGCCCTCATACGGTGTTAACAGCTGATAACGCCGTCCCCAATCGATGCTGTTAGCTCTGGCACCGCTGCTGTTTTAGCTGTTAGCATGGTTAGCTTCTAGCCGCCGGTTGAGCTGTTGCCATTTTGAGAGCTGTGTAGAGTCAATAGAAAAGCTCTGAATTTCATAATGAGCACCTTCAACAATGCGTTGTATTTAAAAAAACGTTTTTTTTTTTATATATGTCAAATCTTTATCTGTAAAGTAACTGTACTATAAATTACAATAATTGTGTGATTATTTCTTAATTGTTTTTTTCTTATATAAATATATTCGCAGACAGATGCACAACACTCCCCTTTAATACAACGCACATTCATGTTGAGAACACGTTGTATGCATCCCACTGTACATTCAAATCAGAACCAGGATCACATTTATTGGTCAGGTATGTATTCACATGTAGGAATAACTTTTTTTTGCATCTCTCTTAAAGTGCTTAAACAGATTATTCTTACATAATATACACAATACACCCACATGCTATCTTCCCAACATCTACACCTTTATCTAATCTAATTTATATGTACTGTGTAAAAAAAGTCATTATTCCTACACCTCCACGTCATAGCAGACGGTTACATTGTTGCTGTGTTTATTGGGCCACATGAGCAAGAACTAAACGTAACATTGAGACCGCAGGTGATGATGGAGGTCCAGATGTTATGTCCACATCGGGAATAGCTTTTTTCATATATGGGGAACGTTTTTTTTTCCTCTGACGGCTTCACAGGTTGACGTCAGATTCAGCTGCTTTGTCAATGTTACACAACCCATACCGGAAATACGACCACTTTGCCTTCAAAATAAAAGAACATACTTTGTCACTTGAAAACTTGCTGCAATTATTTTTTTTTTAACAACGGGAGAATCTACCTGTAAGGAGAGAATACATGATTCAACATCTAAATGAATAAATTAAAATAGATTTTGTGATTTTCTGTTGTTGAAAGTGAAAACTGCTTCGGTAGATGGGCGGGGAATTGGTCGCATAGCCTCAGTAATTTAATTTTTCTGTTAAATTTAATAATATAAATTACGAGTTAATAAGGACAGTAACCATGAGAGGCAACCTTTGAGGACACTGAGGTCATGTTTGGACGAGTTAATACACAACTAAAAACATACATGTGGTTGCTATTCTGATTCCATGAGCCAATTCTTATTATTCTTTAGTGCTTTTAGGCCAACAAAATATTAAATAAATAAAGGCTACAATTTAAGTGAGTAAAAAGCCAACCTTGTTTTTGTTTTAGGTCCTTTGGATTTGTGTCTGGACCCCTGAACTCTGTGTGTCATGGAGATTGTGGTATTAAAGGGTTATGAAAACTTCAGTCTTTATGAATATAGTTTTGTAATCTCTAAACTAAAAGATGAAATTCATTTTTTAAAACTGCAGATAGAGAGTGTCTGTGTGTGACAGGTCGTGGGCCTGTTTAAAGGTACTATAGAAACAAAGAGCATCATGGGAAATGCAGGGATTGACCCTGGGACATCAGGTGACTCCTCCTTAAAATCGCCTGCAGTGTGGATGTTTGAGATGGAGGCAAACCTGAAGACAAACGTGTTTTATGGCATGAAGATGTTGTTATGGTTCTCTTGTACTACTTTATAAGGTAGTTTGTGGCTCATTGTAGGACGCTCTTTCACTAAGACACGCATTGAAGAGTTTTAGGATAATTAATAGACAAATATTGTCTTTGTGCATTTTGCTGGAGGTCTTTAGTGGATTGTCCAAAAAATTGTATTTTATTCTGAAAAGTGCCCGGAACCACACTCATCTTTCTGCGCACGGCTGACCACAGTGTGTGAGTGTGTGTCGGCCGTCAGCAGGATAAAGCGTTGGAGCTGTCGGTGCACACACACACACACAGACCAGAGCAGCTATCAGCATCCTAGAGACTGACCCGGGATCCGTGCGGGGGCTGCTCCGAGGGGTCCATGGCCTGATCTGTACGCGGCGGCCGAGCAGCTGCAGCCGAAAGCCTCTCGAGATGCACCGAGCTCTCTTCTGCAGCCGCACAATAACACCGACGCCGGCCCGGGGACACAGCTATGCTTTTCAGACGGAGAGCCAGGTAACGTTAAGCTAAAACCTAGCAGGAGCCACCGGAGAGAGAGAGGGAGGGGGGAGCGGGGGGAGAGAAGGAGTCGAGTAACGTTCCGGTGGGCTGGATGCAGTGATTGTGGGGGAATAAAAAAGGTGGCGCTGCGCTCTGATCCTGCAGAGAAAGAGGGGAGGGGGGGCTGCTTCAAAGGCCTTTCTGCACGTTTTCTTTTCTTCAAACCATCTGCGAGATTTATTCCTGTCTATTACAGCGCGCGCATGTGTGTGTGTGTGTGTGTGTGTGAGTGTGTGACTGGAGGCTGGGCTGTCCACTGAAGGCTTCTTTGTGTTGTGGTGGAGACTGGCCACTCATTCTGTGTGCAGCACCGCTGTTGTGTATTCGTACCGCCCATCTTCTGCTGAGACTATGGAGGGATTTCTTTTACCTCTGTTCTCCATATGTTTATAACACATGTTTAATATTGTCTGGTGGCTGTCGGTGATCACAGTGATCACAGCCATCCGGCCACAGCGGAGACACGTGAGTGTTCAAGTGGTTACTGTTATGAGACAGAAAAACACACACACACACACGCACACACACGCCACCTTATGTGTCTAATTATCACAGAAACGTTATTTCCTATTTTGTGCACACTAACATATCTCTTTGCAACACATTTGCTTTATTATTATTACACAATATCATATACAGCCAGTTTAATTATGGAAGCAATAAATAACAATTTCCATTGTAGATTAATCTGTTGTAAAATTGTTCAGAATAAAGTGAAAAGGTTAATTAATGATCTGTTGATCAAACAATTAATCAACTAATTGTGTACAAAAAACAGTTTATGACTAAAACTAAATATTAATTATTGTTAGTTATTCTTGTCAATTTATTGCTATTTAAATGAAAGTTGAACTATTGTTTTTTCAATTAATCATGATGTATAAAATAAAAATAAAATATTATCACCTGAAAACTCAACTGAGCAAGGAGAAAGAAGAACCAGAAAGGGATTTTTTTTCTGGATAAATTGTGAGTTTTTCCTGCTGTACTTTCTCAAACTACATATCTAGCATAAAGAAATGGAGGGGGGGGGGGTACTTTTGATGCACAAATCATTTAGCAGTTTTAGATTTGCTTGGCAGAGATAAGTTGGGACCTTTACTCTAGGTTTAGCTATAACTTCTTGCCTAAAAGTCAGTGAAGCTCATTCACAAGCTTGGAAGCTTCAAAATGTCATAAAGTAAAGCTGGGGTAGGCAGGTTTTTTTTCTGCCATCATTGGGCAACAACGTCAGGATAACCTTTCAGCGTATTGTAATACAAGTCTTCTGAGATAAAACTAGATGTCTGCCCCTCCTCTTGACTCTGCTTTCAGGCATTAGAAAACCTAGCCCGTGGGAGACTCCCTGGTCATTACAGACAGAGGACGTTCATATTGGCTGTCACAAATGCCGATGTGCGTGCACGTCCCTTCTGATGGCGAAGGACTGATTTAACTGCTGAATATCCTGCAGGAAAAGTTGCCATTCCAGCATCGGCAACAACTGCCTACACTGCAAAGCAATTCAAAAAGGGAAGAGGTACTTATCAAAAAGAGAGTCTGAAGTGAAGAGTTTCAGATATGGAGAGAAAATGTCACTAATAGTTTACCCTTCTGCTCACAGCTAAGGCAAGCTCACGGCTAACGTTAGCGTAAAGCTGATCTTTTCAACGATTTATCTTCATCTTTCTGATAGTTTAGCCTCCTGCTAACCCTAGCCAAAGGTAAGCTCACGGCCGACTAAGACCCTGTCTACAAGTATTTTTAAAACGGATATTTTTCTCTGCGTTTTGACCTCTCATCCACACATAAACAAAGTTTTAGGTTACTAAAACGGATATTTTTGAACTTTTTACATTTGAACAATGCTACACCACTTAACGGACAAACGAAGGCGTCTCATGCCCCTTATGTTATTTGGTCAACCTCAAGACTACTGTTTCAAAATCAAATACTGTAATACTTTTATTTCACAGCAGTGGTGACGCCTCGCACAGTTTTATGGAATCGGAGCAATTGACACGTACGTCTACAAGACACAAAATAATATAATTTGGCCGAAATATCCATGGTATTTATTAGTTTTTGCTATTTTTCCACAGCGTACATAAAGCTTAACATTACAGACAGTTTCACTTCAACAACAGCCAGCAAAGATCAGTTAAAGGTACCTGAAGTAAACCCCGTCATTCAACACCACTCTGCGGTGTCCACTGCGGTGTCCCGTGTCAACCGCCCCACGGTACTTTGTCCAGGCGGTCTTGAGCTTGGTCGATATTGACTTATTTATCACGTGTTTTGCATAAGGAAACTCTTTCACAACCGTTTCAATGTATTTCTTGGCAAGATACTGTTCCTGAAAGGCCACTGAGATGTCTAAATATTTTGTATAACAAGACTCCCAATCAATGTGGCGCTAAGCAGCAACTCTGTCCGTCTTCCATCCGTTCTCTTGATTTTTCTAAAAGTTTAGTCTTCTGCTCACCGTAACCAAAGGCTAACTTATGGCTTACGGCTGCAGCAAAGTGAGCAGCAAGCCAATTTATTAGCAACATTTCCTCTCTATTTCTCTAAATGTTAAGCTTTTTTTGTTACAGTTAGCATAAGTCTAAACTATTAGCAACATTGTCTCTCCATCTTTGAAACTCTTTGCCGATATTGTAGCTAGCTAGAACCTTAAATCACAGTTTGTCATCCCAAATGGCTTAACAGGAAAGCAAACAGGACAGTAACTCTCATAGTAATGCCGCCATGTAACGGTATCAGGATCACAAGTGTGATCTGGATGATGTTGGAAATATACAATATGCTGAAAGTTTAACATGGATTTTGTTGCCCAATGATTCCAAAAATAAACTGTCGAGCCCAGCTTAACTTTTTGCCAGTTTTATTTTATTATTAATAGCTTGTTCGGGGTTGTCCATCTGGCAATAAAATGAGGTGCGGTTGGTCGTTTCAGCTGCACCCATGTGTGTTTAACCGCTAAATGTTCTTATTATGTAACAAGGCAGGAGCGTGCCAGAACAGACCACTCTGCTATCGACTGCATTTACTGGGACTGTAAGTTTACACTGTGGTATGCAAATACACTGAAGTGGTCTCCCACTCACAGATTCAGCTCCGTACCACTGACTACAGAAATGCAGTTGTTCAGTGTTACATTAGCAGGGGTTTGTGTGCAGACTCTATCCACCCGTGTCCCAGTTTTGACTTTACAGACGTAGTTTTATCTGACGTTCATCTCAATCCCATGAATTCTGTATTACCAGGAGGTCCTGTTCATTGATTCGCAGCCTCGGCCACAATGACCTATCCCCTTCTTCACACACAGGCAGCCTCTTTCTCGTCCCTCTCTCCAGACTGAGGCTAGCAGGCATGTTCGCGTCCGGCACGTCACTTACATACTCACCTCTGGTTGGACGGTTATTCTCTTCCTTTGCCGCTTCACTGCCGAAGAGTTATTTGGAATGACATGGCAAAAAGTTTGTGTTCATCCCTTCGAGTCAAGATATATAAGGCAAAGAACAAATCATCAAAAACTGTCAGCGGACTTTTCGATCAGAAAATTCAATTCTGAACAATCAGTGTTGGTGTAATGAATCTTGTCTCTGGATGCTCTCAGGCTGCTTTCGTCCCTGTGATGATGATGATGATCTTTATGACTCATCCAAATGTCTCCCTCTCCCTATCCCTTCTTTTTTGCCTCTACACCCTCCTCCCTCCCACGCTCTGCTCATCTCTTCATCCCCTCTCTGTTTTCATATGACATCATCTCCCCTGGTCCCCCTCCTCCACCTCATAACATCATCTCTCCTTCCCCATCCATCCATCCCTTTGTCCCTCCATCATTCATTCCACTTCTCTCCTTTCCCCCCTTTTCTCTTCCCCCCCCCCCCCCCCCTCCACTACCCTCTCTAACCTTTTCTTTGACCCGTCATTTCCTCCACTTTTACCTTTGTATCCCTTCTCTATCGTCTATCTATTCCTTGCTCCCTCCATCCACCCACCCACCCATCCATTCTTACCTTTGCCCCTCCACCTCTTCTCCCAGGATGTTGCGGTGGCTGGTTTGTGGTCGGGTGGGTCCAGTCTGGATGTGGAAAGCGCTGCTGCTCTTCGTTGCCATTGGCTTCGCTGGCCAGCTGTTGGGGGTCATCTTCAACAAGAGGTATCTTATTGCTCATTGCTCATTGTACTTTTCTTTTAGCTTTAGCTCTAGCTTCAGTTTTTGCATTACAGTTGTTTGCCGTACAACCTGTCAAAGGCCAAATATCTGCAGCGACATCTTTGATAGAGTTGCTCTCATTGAGTGTTCACCGTTGAAAGGAGTGTATGTCTGTTCACTTCATTTTATTGTGCAATTGAGGCACAAACTGCATATGCACAGCTATTAACTACAGCAGCATGACTCGCCTATTTTGATTTTCCGCTCGCAGCCGTCGGCTCACCATGTGACAGCGTCGACCACAAGAAACACACTGAGGAACTGAGGAGAACAATGCAGGAGCTAAATGTCGTGGTGTTGAACTTAATCACGGGACACTTCTTTACCAAACATAAAAAGAGGTCGTTGTGCCAAAAGTCGGGCTCGGAGCTCTGTCAGCTTCACGGCACTTTATTTGGATAGTCCGCTTGCAAATAGTTTCTAGGGTATTTGTATAACAGATAATCTATAGAGACAATTCATGAAAATCCCTCTAAGTGTGTCCTGTTCCTAACAATGCCTAACCGTCCCATGCAAACGGGGCTCATCTGTGGGGCTGATAGGGTGAGCACTGGGAATGGACCGTGGTGTTAAACATACACAGCCTGCGCCTGGACGGGCTTCATGCCTTTTGAGTTTGAGTAGAGTTCACACTCTAAAATCCACCGAGATTGAGCCTGTGTTGGCAGGAGAGAAAAAAAAACTCTGCACTACAACTCAGGACATTTAAAAAGATGTTTAAATCTTGTAATAGCCTGAAAATGAGCTCTTAGCTTCATGAGATATGAAATATTTATCTGGCAAATTGAAACAAGCTGTACTATTCTGCTACAGCTGCTGTTTGTTAAGATAACGTGCACTGATACTTTTAAGAAGTTTGGAAGTATATTTTAATATTTAAAAAAAATTCCCAAAGGACGATTTGAACAGACATATGATTTTGGTATTAATACTGAGATACTGCACACAGTAAGACTATAATTATTAGTTATTTATTAACCCTGAAGTAGTCTTTGACTTGACCCCGCACAGGGCGTCTTCAAAGCTCACCATTTAACTCCTTCACTTTAACCTCTTAACATCTGGTTCCAAGGGCCCTGAGGGAGGTTCAGGTTTCAGGCCCTCTTCCTGCTGACAGCATGTCTAATGGTGCGCTCAGAGCAAAACAACTGGCTTTTAAAAGTATGCTGCCCTCTAACTGACCTACGCACTAGCGCCTGACTGATGCAGGATTTATCAGTGTGATGCAAATATTGGTATTTCCGATAAGGATCCCGAAGATTTGGCTAGAATAACATGCCCTTTTATAATTGAGTCAAGCACTTACCGGTCAAGCTCTACGATACACCTACTTGCAAACTTTCCCTCATACATCCCAAAAAGCGTTTTCACAGAGTTACAAATCAAATCAAAATCTGCCATAGTTTGTTCAAAATGTCAACGCAGAAATGGAAGCTCTAACTCTAAAGCAGACACACAGAATTAGCAGAATGTAAGTTCGTCTTTGGTCTCCTCCAGGAAAATAGTTAAGTTGTTAAATGCTCCACTACGTTCACCAACTAAAATTGAGTTGCTAACTGTCTCGCAGTTTTCCCATATGAACTCTGGACATTGTCAGGAGTTGTCCTTTCACACATGTAGCACACAACAGGAGATAGTATGTTAAGGTGCCTTCTCAACTACTAGAAATACCCCGCTTGGTTTTGGCGAGGGGTGGCACCTCGCTAGAGCTTCAGGAGGCATAACATGACGCGACAAAGCGGTCATGTAGCCGCTTCGTAATTTGGTCATAAACAACCAATATCTTGCCGCTTCTTGAACTTGTCTAACAATTTTGGCGTTGTCTTTAGTCGAGGGAAGCCCTCCTGCTGCTGCTGGAAACCTAGTTAATGAGAGTTTACCAGAAACCAAGGCAGTGTGGGCGCTAGGAGACATTTCTCTTACATTCCATGGAGTCATTTGAAATTTTGTTGATTAGTGCTCAACTGCAGGATTTTCAATGCACACAGTTTGAAATGGGATCTTTACCTTTTCCTCCAGCAGTGTCCAGACAGCTGGTCGCTCCATCTTCACGTCCCCTGATGCCCAGGGGCCCTCTCTGGGCTCCTGTCAGCAGCACACACACATCATGTTCCTCAAGACCCACAAGACGGCCAGCAGCACCGTGCTCAACATGCTGTACCGCTTCGGGGAGGAGCGCGACCTCCGCTTCGCCCTGCCACTGGGCTACCAGCTTGGCTACCCACTCCCCTTCAATGCCCACAGGGTCAAAGGTTACCGAGGTCCCAGAGCCGTGGAGTTTCACATCATGGGCAATCACATGAGATTTAACAAGCCTGAGGTGAGTTATTGAGAAGAGGAGAGGGGGCAGTGGAAAGACATAGGGGACGATGATGATGGGGTATTCTGTAGTGATGTGGATATAATGTACTATAAAGTGGTCTGAATTGGTTGGTTTTAGGTTTTTAAAACTTACATACATGTTGTTTCTATCCAAAACTTTAATATGTATCTGTGTAGGTCTATGGACAACGTGTTCCTTAAATAATTAAAAAAATGTCCTCTTATTCCTTAATTATGAGCCAAATTCAGCAAATAATCCTTAGTAACATCTTCTCTTTATCTTTAATGTGACTCAGGAAACTCACCAACTCTATAAATAGTTGATTACTCAACTCAGGCGAAACTGACAAATGGCGGTTTGTTTGATAGCACTTATTAGTGACTACAAGTTCTCCTTTTCTGTTTTCGTAGGCGGAGAAGGTGATGCCTGCAGACACGTTCTATTTCTCCATCATCAGGAACCCGGTCGCTCTGGCTGAGTCCTCCTTTGCCTATTATAAAGAGGTAGCACCTGCCTTTCGGAAGGCCAAAACCTTGGGCGACTTTGCTGACTACCCTAACAAATACTACGACCCTCGTCTCCGCAACAACCACTATGCCCGCAACCTGTTGCTGTTTGACTTTGGCATGGACCACAATGCCAATTTCTCTTTGGCACTGGCTCAGCATGCTGAGCAAATGATCCGCCAGACCTTCAAGCTGATTCTAGTGTCTGAGTACTTTGACCAGTCCATGATCCTGCTGAGACACGCCCTCTGCTGGCCGCTGGATGCCGTCGTCTCATTCAGCCTCAATGCCCGGCAGCAGAAGCCCAGCGGCATCGGGGGGATGAGCGGGAGCTGGGTGGGCAAAGTGGCGACGGCGACCGGCGTCGGTGGAAAAGGCGGGCGCTTACAAGCCAAAACAGTGACCAATATAACGGAGGAGCAGCGGGAGAAGCTGCGGCAGTGGAACGCCCTAGACTGGCACTTATACAAATCCTTCAACCGGACCTTCTGGGAAGAAATCAACCAGTTCGGTCACGCCCAGATGGAGGAGGAAGTAGCTCTTCTCAAGATGCGGCGGGAAGATCTGGCCCGGGTTTGTCTCAGGGACGGCGGGAAGCCTGTGGAGGCTCATCGGATCCGAGACAAAAACATCCGCCCGTACCAGAGTGGGTTGGTGAAGATTCTCGGCTACGAGCTCCAGCCGGGTCTGGACAACGCCACCAGGGTGGCCTGCCTGAGGATGATCCGGCCCGAGATCCAGTACAAAGACGTGCTGGATGCGAAGCAGTTCCCGCGGGCTCTGGCCGCCCAAGTCCAGCCTGTGCAACAGAACCAGGGTCTGATAGTCGCAGCTGGCGGCTCTTTTTTAAGACATGACTCGTCCAGGACAGGAGAGAGGGTGGTGGGGGGGGAGGCTGGGGTGAGGACTGTGGAGGAGGGGGAGAGAGACTGGGACGGAAGCCGATTAATGAGGAGGAACCGGACTTTGATAGGGGGGAACGATAAAGGACGATTGAGATGAGGTTTGAGGTGAATCTGGTTCCTGAATACGGTACCTTTGGTCTCTAAACAGACGGACTAATGAAACTGAAAACTGAGCCAGGTGCGGTTTACACATGAGAAAACAAAAAAAGCTCCTCCTTTGCACTTCCACTTCTTGAGTTGTTTGCTTGTTTTCTTAAAAAATGGTCATTGCTTTCAGTTGGTGTAATTGTCGTGGACTACTTGACCCTTGGGATGAAAGGACCACTTTTATATAAGGAAAAGCGCTTTTTAGTGCTGTCGGTACCTTCTGCTTCGTTTATTTATCGACACATGGAAGCCTGTTTTATTCCCTCTTCATGTTAATACTTTTGAGAGTGAAGATTTCCACGTTGTCCTCAGCGCACATGCTTGAAACTTCTCGAAGTAAAGGTAGATGTAGCCCCAGTTTTTGCCTCTCATGCAGAACCATTACATTGAGCGAAGCAACTGTCCCGGTAAAATGTAAATACCTGGCAATCTTTAAAAAACACAGCATTTCCACAGTCCATTCAAAAGTTGTGACTATATTTATGAATCAAAGCAAGAATGGCAGCTGGAGATGTCAATGTCAGCTCAATGTCCAACCATTTAAAATATTTATTGCAAGTCATGCTTGTCTATATTGATTTTTCCTTTCAATTATTTTATATTTCCATGCAAAATAATGTATATAATGTACAACACAAGCAAGGACATTTGTTATTTCCCTCCACCTGAATAAGGAAACAGTTGCAACTTGGACTATGGATAGAAAAACATACTAAATGCCGTTAAACCACCTTCTGGGTTTTTCCAAAGATTGCATGCTTTGCTCTGTTACTCTGGGATAACGTGAGAGGCACACACTGGGGTCAGATTATGGTACAACACCAATATCCCATTGCTGATGTGGTTCGTAAAGTCACTATAGGCTGGTACTCGCTCATGGAAAAAAAGAATTAGGATAAGCGTTGTATTTCTCTGTCGCAAACTTAGTTCAGCTTCAAAGTCGACACTGAGCCCCGTCTAGAGCACTGACCCGAACCGCTCCTTAAATATCTCTTAATAATACAAGAGGTGGAAAACAATCCGAGGCCTGTGCGTCTGTTCAGAGTTGCCTGATACTCGCCGGCCTGCTGAGTCTGTTTCATATGAACAGTTCGGGTACATTCCTTCCTTCCACTATCTGCTGAAGTAGCCGTCCGACACATGCGACACAGGCGTTTTCATGGAGACCCATTTCAAAAAGAAATTCATATCGTTGTTAGCCAAAATAAATGTCAAAGCTGCTGCTTGTTGAAGGTGAACTCCCTCATTCTTTATAACGACCTCAGCTCTACAGAATGCCTCCCAGATTAACTCTGAGCAGCGAGTCAGCAGGTATTCTGGGACGTATGGTCAGACAGGCCACAAAGACACACTACAGCTCCAACACAAAGATATAATATTCCAAGAGGACATCAGTGTTGTTCAGGAGTCTGCCTAGCTACTAACAATAAACAACTTAACAATGAAAGCAAATAATAAGCAATGCATCTAGAAACAAGACCAAAAAAATAGGCAATACTTCCTTAAAAAGTATGTCAAAAATACAACTCGCATCTTAGAAATACAACTCTATATTAAGGCCATTTTAGATATAAGGGAAGTATGGAGCCGGGAGAGGGGGGGTGATAGTCTGAGGAAACAAAACGCTGAGATTAAGAAAAGTAAATAAAGAAGAAACATATTTTGAGATTCTCTGAGATTAAAGTGGTAAATTTCCTCCAAAGAACTCAAATTTACCAGAATATTCTCTGAAGTAATAAAGTCATAAATTTACGAGAAACAGTCCAGCGGCACGGAATTCCTTTGCATGGACATAGAAATGTACGTCTGACTGTTTTTTTCCGGATGTTTTGCTGAACGTGGGTGCTGTAGTTCATTCTGACACAACTGCATTTTGGATCTGAGAGCACGCATCACTGCAAGGAGTGGGAGTCCATGTTTACACTGCAGAGGGGGATTAAGCAGATTTTACGAGGACATGAGGAAGTGTCGTGTGCAGCAATATACTAACAGGGGAAATCTGTTCCAAATGAAGGCCTGGTTCTGGACAACTAGAGAAATTTCTGTTCTTTTACTGTTGAAATGTCATTCTTTTATTTGACATTTCAAAGTTGCATGTAGTGTTTAAAAAGTGAGGGGGGAAAAGGGAAGATTTTTTGAAAAATGTATGAAAGCATTTGAGTATGTTGTGGGGAGAAGTGGCGGCGGTTAGAACTGGCACGTCTCAGTTCAACTCAAGCCGGCGGCAATTGTCTTTTTCCTACTATGGCCATGGCATGACCCGCCCTACTCAGCCTCTGATTGGCTGACCATGATATTCTTACCCCAACTCTAACCAATCTCACCGCTCATGCTGCTTAAACCTAAACAACCCAAACCAACTAAGGCCATCAGCACTAGCCCGTAATCGTAATTCGGCCGGCCGACGGTGCAGCTGCGACACAGCTCGTCAAGTCTTCAGTGGCAGCTCATCTGTTTCAACAGCCAATCAGTTCGTAGCAAAGTCAGCTGGTCAAGTCAGTTACAAACTGTTAGCTGGCTGAAATGGAAATAAAGGTTTTGGACGGAGGAAAGAAGGGATCACCTTGTCAGTTTGAGGAGCAGGCGTGTCCGTTCCATCCGTCTTCGTCCACCATATCCTTTCTCTTTGCCAACCGTGGGACTCCTGCCGTCAACACCTTTCACAGGCTTATTTATAACTGATAACTTTATCTAAGCCAGGTGTCTAGATGTCCTACTTTTCCTCTGAAAGCTAATTGAACAAAAGGCCTTTGAGAGCTACTCATAGACCAAGTTGTACATCGCCAATAGCAGACATGTCTTACTTTTATGGTCCTTTGATAACTTTTCAGTCACGGACTCTATTACAACCCGGCTGTAGACAAAGGGGTTTCTGTGTTTCGTTAGGATGTGCGCCACTAAACAAAGCCTCTGTTGCCCATTCCTCATGAAAATAGTTTATTTTTTGCCTTTTATTGGCCTGGCTATTTTCTGAGGTCATTGCCATATCTGGTGTGCGCTTGCTGGTCTGCTGACAATGCCAAATGTTACGGCGACGCTGGTGTAACCAAACTTGAAAAGCTTGTGAACCCAACGGTACAGCCAGAATTTCGTGGCCTGGGCTCCTTTGGCGCACTTGTTTTTCATGTGGGCACATGGGTGGGATCAGAATGTAAAACAGGCTGGTTTCACAACGTCAAAAGTGGTTGCAAGTTCCAGCCCGGCATCTTCGGTCTGAACCGGGCCTGAAAAACCTTCAAGGAGGCCCTGAAGAGATTCCACGGTTCCTTAAAGCAAAGTGGATTACACGTTAGCATATACGATCAAGTAAAGCTGCTGTTTCCGTGCGAGCGCTTTCTGAAGGTAATCAATACCAAACACAAATGAAAACATCTTCAGTGTGTGGTGGCAGCCGTTCTCCGGTACCCTGCAGTCGTTAAACTGGCTGTCAGGCGGTGCAGGAAACCCAAAGCGAGCACCTCTCTAGCTGCTGTGGGACTGGATGGCAGACTGTGGTCTGTGTAGGAGCAGTCAGAGCACTTCAAAGCGGTCTGCTGCGGTTTTACACTTTCTGCTGTCAACACAGTCTTTCCTGTGACAATGACAGTCGTACCATTTCAAAATTATATTAATATTCTGCAAGTACAGAGGTCCAGCCAGGAGGCCTGTGGCTGTGTGCCAGATCACAATATTCAGTATTGTTTCTTCATATTTTGCCACTCTTTATAGTGAGTTATTGCGTTGGAAGAGACGTAACAGTTTAGGGGAGCTGCAGCAGATAAAGTGATTCAATTAGAGTGCTGATATTTGAAGATAATAGTCACGCTCTGACCAATCAGAAGTGAGCATTCTCCGGGCCGTCATACATAGATTTTGTTCAGGTACAGTCAGCTTGCAGTTTGTTGGCGCTCCAGTTGGACATTTGAGTGATTGATGCTAATCGTCCCAAACAGAGAGTGTTCCACAGAACGGCAGAGCGTGTGAATGGTGTCACCTTACAGCAGAGGGGGGAATTGGGTGCACTGCATTGTGTTGTCATGGCTGCCTCCTCAGTTTCCTCCCGTGAATAGGAGGTTTGTTGCTCAGCTTCCTTTGGACACTGAGGAAATAAAGAGCTCGCTAGGATTTCAAATGATAAGGGACGTACCTGTGTTTTGTCTGTGTTCTCTCCGTCCAGGCTAACATTGGTTTTCATTTATTCCACTACAATCGGAAGCTCAACTTGCAGACAGTTTGCTTCAGTTATGTAATCCATCATTACAGTGGCCTTTCTATGGAATATGGAGCCTCACACTGTGCATCATAGTGCTGCACGGCTGCCTCCTGCAACACCGTTTCTATCGCTAATAAGATGTGATGTGGGACAAATGACTCGGACCCAGTGAGGTCTCTTCTATTAAAGTCAATACAAACTGCAGCAAATCAAAGATGTCGCTGGTGTTTCTTCCTCTCTCAAGTACTAAAGTGCTGATCAGCAGTGTTCAGTGCTGGCACTGGTGAGAGGAAGCTGTATTACACCATTACTATTGAATTTAATGGAGGGAACCTCGCATTTGTAATATTTTTCCCCAACTCATAAGTTGATGTGAATATTAGCTACCGTCTGATGAGTTTGTAGTTGAAACATTCTTCCCATTTTCACGTTTTATTTTTAAGAGTTGCTTATTGACGCCTATACTGAAATTAATTTAAGAGTTAAAAAACAATTACTTAAAGGGACAGTTCACCCCAAAAATTCACCTGTAGTGCTATTTATCAGTCTAGATAGTTTTGGTGTGAAATGCAAAGTGTTGGAGATATTGGCCGTGGGGATGTCTGCCGTCTTTCCAATATAACGGAACTAGATGGCACTCAACCAAAAGAGAGAAAAAAATTAATTTGAAAAAGTCAACGCAAACATTACGACCCGGTTACTCAAGATAACCCACAGTCTCACTTATGAACGATTTATTTTCTGCCGAACTACACCCGGCCACCGCATCTCCACGACAGAACAAAGCGATGCATCTACACTCGATACTGCTAGCTTACCTAGCATCGCTAGGCCGAGGAGGACTGTGCCTGTAAACATAACATGAACATTAGATACTTGTGACTATTGCTCTTAACTGAGGGAGGGATATTTCTTTTCACCGTCTAGTAGGGGCCGCCACTGTTGAATGAACGCCGATGCACAGAACAGAAACACGACATGCTTTGTTTCACACCTTAGGATGCAGTCGTATAACGGAGCAGGGCTTTAAAACGGCTTTAAAACCTCCTTCTGTATTTCATACTAATTGCCATTTTGTACATACTGTATTTATGAGGGTTAAGAGGTGAAGTGATGACAAGGGGAAGGTGTTTCCTGTCACGGTGTGATGGAATCTGTTACTGATGTTTATGCACACACTCCCCCATATGCCACTCACTAATTATGTTTGGCTCATAATTCCGTGTTATCATTTATTGATTTCACCTGATGATTAGCTAATGTTTTACACAATGTAATTGTCCACATTCAGAATTTCAGCAGAGTGTAGAGAGAAATTAAAATTCCTCACACTAAACGTTAATTTGATTATTTCAGATGTGATTTATTTTTTCTCAAAACCACATTATCTAGTCCGTATTGTGTGTATCCTCTCATGAATATAATATCGTTTAACTCTATATTTGAGGGATAATGATCTTGAAATGATTTTCTCTTAATTGTTATTATGAATTGAGATGTTCTGAGAGTACAGTGTGTTTCCTGCTCACACTGTGCACACACATCACTGCATACACACCCAGTTACACAAACAATCTCTCTCCTGACAGGCTGCAGAAAGTCAAATGAAAACTGCTTGATGTTCATGCCTGTCTGGTCCACAAACAGTTAAGCTCTGTTTTTATTCTTCCAGGAGAAATGGGATTCTGTTTTTTTACTGACATGGTACTGTGACTTATTTTCTTGCTGTTAGTATTAAAGTTGTCACATGTGAACACGTTGTATGTTACATTGAGTGTCGGAGTAAAAGGTACGTCTCGTGTCAGTCTCAGACTGAGGTCTGTGGCACAGTGGGATCCGTCTTCACTTCATCTGAGCAGCTTCCACCTCTGTGCCGTGATTCCCACAACACTGGGTTGGGTCATCGCTGAGAGGAAACACTTCACTGATCTGATATTCTCTCAAACTGTTACAGATTTAACTCAACTGGACGGGGCAGCGGTTCATTCAGAAAGCAAAGGTGTACTTCGGTTTGGATCTTACTTGAAAATGTTTTATTTTTTTGGTTTTTATTTGGGGGTGAAACTTGTGCTAGATCACGCTCTTTTTTCTTTCTCTTGTACTGAATAAAAGCAAAATTTATTTGACTCCACTAACACATCTCCTTGATTTTGTCGGGGCCTACACATGTGACTTTATTCTTTAAATTTATTCTCAGAGGAAAATACTTTTTTTTACCCTACTACACTGATGTTTATGAATGAACTTCAAATAGCTAGCGTGTTAAACTAAGCCAGATTGAGGGAGAGTGGAAAAGCACATCTCGATATGGCTTCATAATAACAAGCAACTTTCGACATATATTGATGGTTAAGAAAAACAAGCAGTTTAAACTATGGTTGAAAACAATGTAGGGGCCGGCTAATGCAATTGTGTGTCCCAAATAACCCAACACATCCCCTGAAAATAGTTTTGCGTCACAATGCTACTTTAAAGCCAGTATGACTGTATTTGCGAGCTTTTTTCATCTGTGATGTCTTATCTAATCGGTGTATTTTTGTTTATTAATTGTTTAGTTGTGTTTTACATTCACTGTGCTTCTCTATCTGCACTGTGCTCAGTTCTTTTGTTGGTTAAAGTTGCGGCTCGGCTCTGTGTTCTGTCGTCTGGTGATTGATTAGTGTGGTCTGGAAAAAGATCTGTTTTCGATTAGCCGCCCTGTTTGTTTGTATTGCTACGGAAGCTCAACGGCGAAGATGGCTATCAATGACTTCGGGATTACTTTAATCCTGTTGTTTACGGTAGTAAAAGTGTTGGACTGTTTTAGCTAGACAGTTTTATTTAAAACTGGCATACGGTATTTTTCATTATATATGAACATACCGTGGCACTTCAGCCTCGTGCTGTTTACACCGCAGCAGATGGTAAACAGCATAGTTACGTTACAGTGATGGAATCACAATGCGAGTATTTCATGTATTTCCCTGCCGCTCCGATATCGAGTCTGTCAGACCCGGCGGACTACGCGACTCTTCCGCGGCGAAACCACGTCTACCTCGGGGAGGTCGTCCAGTTTCTGCTGGTCCTGCGGTCCTGGAACACACCGGGGAGGAGGGATGACAGCTCTGGTGTTTTAACTTGGAAGGAGCTCGCGGGCTCTCTGTCCGCTCTGGCGAGCGCTTGCGTCGCCGAGAGCCGCGAACAGAGACCCGGCGGCGAGTACCAGCCGGACCTCCAGAGCACCAGCAGCGAGGAGGGAGAGGAGCCCGGAGAGTCTGGAGGAGAAACACCGGAGAGCAGCAGGACTTTCACACAGTGCAGCCCGCATCTCATTCACAACAGCTCGGCCGGTGGTGGGCGACAGTCTGGTAGGGAACCGGTGAAGGTAAGACGGAAAATGTACGAGTGGTTAAGATATTAGGTAAGGGTGCTCTTCACTGTATTTACCATTTAAAATCTGTATTAAAGGTGAACAACGACTTGTAAATGACTTGGAGGACATTTTGGATAACCTTTAAACTCACTGCCATCACCTCTCATTGTATTGACCTGCCTTCAGTGTAACAGGAAGTAACTTTATCTATTTCTGGAGGTGAGGGGAAACCAAACCACAGCCATTCATGCACTTCCTATCTCCACTCACCTGCATTCTTCTGTTTGATTTGAGCAGCCTCTGTTCAGCCTGATCTGTGCAGTGATGCTTGTGCTCCAGATGTGTCCAGACCAGTGCGGTCAGGTCTTCAGGGGCTTTAAACCAGCTCTAAAAATGCTCTCCTGACTAAATGACTAAAATGCTGAATAATAATGATATAACTTTACAGTAGAGCTGAACTACGAGTTGACCAACAGAAAGTTAATTGGCGACAATTTTGATAGTGGATTAATAGGAGGTGCGCTGGTTGCAAACAAAGTCAGATTGTAGCGAAGTCTATGAGAAAATGACTACTTCTCTCTTGATTTATTACCTCAGTAAACATTGTAAGCATGAGTTTATAGTCTCAATCTCTAGTTTCAAGTCTTCTTCAATACAGCATGATGTTCATTTAGTAAATGATGGTCCATTTAGACTCAAATAGACCCATAAAGCAGGGGATGCTTTAGGGCGGGGCTACTGTGATTGACAGGTTGCTGCCGTTTCCAGAGTCGTATACAGCGTCCCTACGTCACTCCCCCGCCGTCCAAATATGATAACTTCCGTTCATTGGTTGTAAAAAGCCAAGCTGGCAATGGCTGTATTTCAAGATGGCCAATTCGACAATCTCAAGGCTTCAAAACCGCTGTATTCAAACCAGTGGGTGACTTCACAATGATTACGTCCACTTCTTATATATATACTTCTTATATACAATATAAGAAGTGAACAAATTGTTATTTGTTAAAAATATCATGATATTTGATTTTTCGCCCAGCTTTAATTCATGTCAAACAATCTATGGTTGCAGTTTGTTTGGGGTATGTGAGGATTTGCTGCTTTTCTGTCAAAATCTCTATACAAAAACATCCTTTGGACTGTTTCACGGACAAAACAAGACATTTGAAGACGTCACCTTTTGACTCTGGAAAACTGGAATGGGAATTGGACACTTCTTTTAGTCATCTTACAGACGCGTTAAAGCCCTGTTAGACTTTCTTCTCAACCATTTGTTTGCTAATTTATTCCACATGTCGTCACCAAAACCAACTCTCTGTCTTTAATCTCTCAACATCTTGTCCTCCTGCAGTCTCCTCTGGTGCTGGAGGACCAGGTTATCTTCAGTCTCACCGTCTCTTTGGACAAGCTGCCGGTCAACACACTGAAAACCAAGGTCAGACACGTCTGCATACAAACACAGGGTTGGACCACATGTTTGTCAATGTTCCGTTTGTGGTAACTATTCCTCTGGTGTCTCTGGTTGTGTTCGGCTGTAAAGTTGCACTTCAGACCTGTTTGAAACCTTCCATGTTGGAGTAACCTATCAGGAAGACAAAAACATCGCCTAAACTTTCTGCTCCTCTGTGCTGCCAGATCGTAGTGACCGTGTGGAGCCAGGAGGAGGAGGAGAAGGTGGAGGTGAGGGAACACGGCTACCTGTCTCTTCTGCAGCTCCGGAGCCCGATGCACACCTTCAGGAAGGACCTCAGCACCTTCAGGACGCAGGGTACACGTTCTCCGTTTCTCTCAACGGCAGACATGACACACGGCGAGTGGCGGCGCCTGTGGTGTGACGAGTTGATTCAACCTAGCAAAGTGAAGCCATGTGAAACACTTTTCAGATTTATTTCCATGCAAATGTATGACTTTATAATAATAATAATACGTTTTTTTTCCTCATAGATTTGTGAGTTTGTACTCATAAATTTACCACTTTTAATCTAAGAATTACCACGTTTTTAACACCTGTAGCGATGTGCCGGGTTTTAACCGCTGTGTCTGTGTCCTGTTTCTGTTCCCAGTCAGCACCATCCTGAATGTTCTTCCACCTCCTAGTGTCCAATGTCAGCACATAGCCGTCTCTGGGAAACACCTGACTGTCCTCAAAGGTAGACCATCAGCACACACACACACACACACACACACACACACACACACACACACACACACACACAGATCTTAAAACATACACTCCTTGAGTTTTGCCAATGTCTCTCCTCCCCCTCTTGCCTCTCCTCAGTGTTGAACTGCAGCTCTCAGGATGAGCTGTGTGTCAGAGATGTGAAGATCCTTCCTAACTATAACTCGTCCTACCTCCCCATGATGCCAGACGGCTCCGTTCTCGTAGTCGACGATGTCTGGTAAGCTCTTAATGTATACTCTCAGATAAAACCATCAGTCCATAAGCAGGGAGTTTGTCCTTATCTGAATGATAAGGAATCTAACACAATCTAAGGACAGAGGGTGAATGCTGTACAGATTGCTGAACAGGCTCCTTGAGGCAAATGTGTGATTTGTGATATTGGGCTATCTAACTGTAAGCCAGGAATTTAGTTGCGTCATTGGGGGCTGGAGGGCAACCCAGTCTGCTTTTCACTGGAGGCTCTATCTTGTATTATCGGGTGAAGATTAGATGTGAGCGGCTGACTGGAAACTCTGAGCTGTACAATCTTCCATTTGATTGCATCACAAGCTTTGTTTTCTGGCTAATAATTTGCACAACCTTTTGTTTCTCCACAGCAGGTGACATTGGTTGTATTTGTTCTCAGTGTGGCTGGTGGAGAGAAACATCATAGAGGGTTTCAATGTGTTCAATACTTTGGTTTATGACCAAAAGACATTCCCATCAGCCTCAGCTGTGTTTAGAGCTAGTTAGCAAACGCTAGCATGCTCACATTAGCTCTGCAGTAGCCTCCTGTCATGCTAGAGCAGCGCACCACAACAACCAGAATGAAGACGGACTTGTTTATTCAGAGTTGTTCCGTCCTACAGAATTCACCGTACTGTATGTGGTCGAATCAGGAAGTGTGTTTGGTCTCCAAACAAATACTTCTTTCGTTTCCACTTCCCCCTAAAGCCACCAATCAGCCGAGGTCACCGTGGCGTCGTTCTATCGAATGGACGGCGAGTTGTCGCGCTTACCCAGCACGCTCAGCGCCCTGGAGGAGCACAACTTCCTGTTCCAGCTGCAGCTACAAGACAAAGAGGAGGAGGACTCCAGTGAGGTGAGAAGACAGCATGGAGGCCGCTTCCCTCAGTTCAACGATCACTTAACCAGTCATAGGGCATTAATGGCGGGTTTGTGTTGTGTGTGTGACCGGTTTTGTCTTGATACATTTCAGACTGTCTCACACTGACCCAACAAATGTAGAATACGGGCTCCTTTTGTTTTACCTGATCGACCTGATGCTGCACAGCGGCCATAGCTTCCTAAGTTAAGTTTATACAGTTAAATCACTGAGAGCAAAGCGGCCATGCTCAGGATTAGTTAAGCATCATATAAGCTCTTGGTAGATTTGTGTTTTATGGCAAAAATCCAAATTTTTCTTTCCCTCAGTAGAATCACACGTTTTTTTTTTTTGCTGTGTCAAGTGGATTATTACAGGGAGGTTTCAGTTTTGCTGCTCAAATGCAATAATATTTGCAGTATTCATTACTGCAAGCACGGAATTAAGTAAATTAAAAGAAGGCAACATATTATCGGCCTAATAATGAAAACGGAACATAATAAGTAATCTGCCTCTGGCAGTGTGGCATTTGTTTTAGGTCGATGATATTTGGCGTGGTGTATTATTGTCTTTTGTGACTTCTCAATGCTTCAAATGAACTTAAAGGTTGCTTCAACCAACTTCCCCCAAAGTAAATCAAATGAAATGAAAAGGTCCTTGCTTCTTCCTCGTGGTGTCTGGCCAGTTAGATCTCTAGTCTCCCAGAAGTCATCAATACAATAGCGGTCAATGGAATTTAGTTTGTAGCTCAGCATCAAAACAAAAAGAAGAAGCAGTGCCGTTGTTGCTCTGGACAATTTACAGAACACATGGTCTACAGGTTTCACTGGAACTACTTTCTACTCAGGGAATGATCTGTAGGGTGGTCTGTACCCAAACACCCAGCCTCATTTCACGAGGGCTCCTACCCTTCACAAATCCCAATTCAACCCCTAACTGAGAGTTCAAAAGTGTTTTCAAACTAGAATGCCTTATTTATATATGTTAAGGATAACGGACCAACAGTTTGTTAGTCTCTCTGTTGACAATTTCTGACTTTCATTTGTCAGCTCTTTAAAAACAGCTGACCAATGTATAGTTTCATTTAAAAAAGGCTGGTTATTGTTTTTCAATCCACATTTTGTGCTTTAGTGAGTACTTGTGTCAGCAGGACGGTGTATGTGGGAGTGTGTGTGATCATGTTGATGACAGTGTGTCTGATGTGTTTTTGTTAGATTTAGTTAATCATGTGTCCTAATACATTTATCGTACATATATGTGTGTCTGTAGGGTTTGGAAGTCCAGTTGGTGGCCGTGTTACAGTGGTACACTCCAACACTGCCTTTAACAAGGTAACTGCTCCTCTTCTGTCCAACATTTGGAATGTAGGAGAATGGTCATTTGTAGATGTCTGAGCAGGAAATGTACAAGTGGAAGTGATTCAAAACAAAATGCTATTAACAGTATTTGTTCCACCTGTGCTTTTCCTGCTGTGACCAGTCAAAATGTCTGCTGTGAAACGCGTCTATTACAGGAACATTAAAACTCTTTTTTTTTTTTGCTCTCCCTCCAGATACATCTCCAGTTGTTACTTGTTGCCCAGTATCCGCTTGGACCGTCCTCTGCTGGTGATGACCGCTTCCTGTCCCCGCGCGGTCAGGCCTCTGGAGCACTTCTGGGTGAAATACACCCTGCTCAACAACTTGCAGGACTTCCTGGCCGTCCGTCTGGTCTGGAATTTGGATGGTGAGTAGCAGACTTTACCGTCACATGGTCCCAGCCAGCTTTTTTAGTTTTACTGTGCAGAAACAATTCAGCTCATTACATTTTCTTGGGATTGAGTGATTTTGTGTCACTCTCCGGCACAAAATGTGCGACGACATCATCAGAAAATATGATTGAGAGTCAAAAAATGACGCCATCATGTATTGTGCTTTAAAAAAACAGGAGCTCTTATACAGTTAATCTTAGATCAACACCATGGCCCTGTTAACACCTGGCATCTTGGGTGATCCGATCACTTACAGTAAGTACGTCAGTTCAATCCTATAGTGGTTATTCTAGGAACTGTAGTTTTTGGCACTTCCGTGTCATTTTCCAGCACCGGAGGTTGCTGCTTGATATACGTAGATTTGGTAGTACTCCAAGCTTCACTGTCATTTTTTTGATACTGTATATGTTGTTTCATACTTTGCAAAAGGAACCAAAACTAGTAATCCAAATCAACAGAGATGATTGGTGATGACTGACTTTAATCAAACCTGTACAGCCTCTTGAGTATAGGGATTTCTCTCTCGTCTCATCCCTTTAGTTGGGACTTGAGATGACCGTTTAATTCACAAATAGTGTAATAATCCAAGGCACGTGAGATCCATTATAACTGGGGAGCGACACGCTGTCTGCATGGCCGGGTTGATGTCCAGGTGTGTCAGGGTGAAAGCAGCGATGATGAAATCCAACAGTACAGTGACGCACAGTGTTCAAACAGATCTAATATCTGTGTGGGTGGGCACTAGATCCATGTTTCGACCCATGACAGAGAAACTACCCAGACCCCTGAGCGTTTTGGTGCCCTAGGCGAGATTTTAGCTGGTGCCCTTTGCAACACCAATCATTGTGTTTTTTTGTGTGGTGAATAGTGTTGAATTTAGATTTTTTTTTCCCCCCTCATTTGTGCTGCCCTAATGGAAGGATGCCACCCCTAGCAAATCAGCTACACCACCTATACCTAGGGCTGGCTCTGCTACACCCCCTCCTTTCTATAGAGAGGTGAAGCCACGCCCCTTCCGGTTTCGCCCATGGGACCTTAATTTTGGAAAGAAATATGTACGGTAGTCAATGGTGAGAAACAAATATTTTTTTGTATCCCGTCTCAATTCTGCCATGAGTCACACATAGGATTTTCTTTTCAATTTAAAAGATAATTTTGCACGTAAAAATAAAGTCTGTCGTAGAATTGTTGTGGTATTTTTTAGTTTGTGTGGAACCGATCTCTCTTCTCACGCAGTGTGAGTAGCCAACACGACTGTTACCTTAGCTTGCTAGCTAGCTAGCTAACTTAGCTATATCCATGTACAAATGTAACGTTTTCTTACCTGATGTGTTTTATCCAGCAACTCTTTTTATCACCCGGGACGCGAAAGAACGATCGAGACCCGGTGTGAATACATCCCCGTATGAAACACACAGGCATCGTAGCTTCTGAGAGAGACGTCATATTTGCTACGTTGGGTGTGTCGTCTTTCTAATTACGTATCTTATACTTCGACAGTCTTACAACAAAACGCAACTTTCTTGATATGCTAAATTGTCTTTTACATTAACAAACAATGCAATTCATCGCAAAATTCAAACAGGATCAAAAAGTTAATTGTTTCTCGCTGTTGACGACTGGTCCACCGGAAGGGGTGGGGCTTTTCCTCTCTATAGTGTGGCATGAACAGACTGCCGATGACTCAGCAAGTGTTCGTGAAAAGTAGCAGAGCTTCCTTTGACTCATCCGGTTTCCTATCTTAATCTACTTCCACTTTCTTTCTCCCTCCTCTCCCCCACCACCTGTTCCCTATCTCCATCCATCCATCCGTTCATCAGCTGAGAGAGGAGGCCAGCAGCATCACAGGGCCCACCCGGCAGTGGTGTGCCAGTCTCCCCTCAACAACCTGGGACAGTGTAGGAAGGGCTCCACCCTCTCCTTCACCGTGGCCTTCCAGATCCTCAGGACTGGACTCTTTGAGGTACTGCGTGGTTCTTCCGATGAATTCAAACGATAATCAGTTAACTGACAAAAATAAACACAGTGACTCTCCCGTCTCGCCTATCCTCCACCACTGTAGTTGAGCCAGCACATGAAACTGAAGCTCCAGTTCACGACCTCGGTGTCCACTACCCCCGTGGATCCTCTGTCCCCGATGAGGAACTCTCCATCGTCATCATCATCATCCGGCCCCGCAGCCCGAGAGCTGCTGGACAGACATGGCCTGGGCCGATCTCAGAGCTTCTCCCACCAGCAGCCGTCCAGGTCAAACCACGTCAGGTACGCAGGATGTCCGCCAGCCGTGTTTGTGTAAATGATGTTACGACACAAACATTATGCAGACATTTACAGACAGACCTACACTTTCTTGTCTTAATATCCGCTGGCTCCAGGTCAGGTAGCGTGATGGTGCACAGGGCTGCCACCCCTCCCGTAGGACCTCGGATTGGCAGAGGCCTGCCCCCGCCCCCCGACCACGCCCTCATCTCACTGGACAAAATAGCCAAGAGAGAGTGTAAGGTGTTAGTGCTGGAACCAATCCAAGAGGCTCACGGCAGGTAAGAAAACAGCTTTAACGCTTTTAAATCGTATTATGAGCTCTCCGTTACAAATATACAATTACAGTGGTATTTCTTTACATTTCGTGAGTCGAGTCAAACTATGGAGGAGTGCGTTGATATTGGTTAAGCTTCTGTAAAACCAGGTTTCATCTTATTTAAGGATCTGGATTATATGTATGAAACCTTAATAAGTAGTATAGTACATACCTAAACGTGCTGCAATGGACCAAAACATTTCCATAAGGAGAAACGGGATGGAGCTTAAAAAGCAATGCCAATTCAGAAACTCAAGGGTCTTGTAAACTAAGACGAGGCGATGGGACTAAGGTGTCCTATCGCCTCTAGCATTGAAACATTCCCAAAGATACGCAGCCCTATACGCCATTGGTCAAATTTGTGTGACAATGAACAAGCAGTTCCCTCTTACTCATACATGCGAAAAACAATCAGTTATGCTGGAAATCATTTGTGTGAAATCGGCTTTTGTTCATATTGGGACTGTTTAAAAGCCAACCAAGCAGCTGCAGGCGTCTGAATGAGTTAAACTTACACTCGCACCATGTTCGGACTCATGTGGATATGTTTCAGAAACGCATGTTGCTCGTGACTCCTGGACAGAAAACTGAAAACTGCTTCTCAGATGACCTGGAGAGGAAAGCTTTGACTGAAGACGCACAGTGTTTGGTCCATCTGTTTAGCCGCCAGAGCCTGATCCTCTGCCTAAAGACGACAAGATGGTGGATGAAGAGATGGACGGAGGAGCAGAGAGGATCGGTGATTGGTCAGAGAGGAGGAGGAGAGAGGAAGGTGATGGAGCGATGCTGCTGGCCACAACAAGTCTTCATTTCATTGGTTCATTATTTCAATTCTTGTTCTTACACTTCCCTTTAGCCTATTCCTTTTTACTCAGTGGGTTATTTTCATAGTCTTCTTATGTCTTTGTGCTTTTGTTGATATTTATAGTTAAGGTTTATGTAGGGTGTACTCAGGAAACCCCAGATTGTCCGGTTGTGCCAGGCCTGGGAGCACAGCTAAAGCTGGGTGGAGACAGTAGTTTGTATTTTCTTGGTAACTGTCCAACATTTTGTGAAGTACGCTTCAAACCATCCGTTAGATTAGAGAAAACTGCGGGCCTAGCGGTCTCTGAAAACACAGAACTCGTAACCGTCCCAAAGAAGAAAAGTGGGTACCGTTAGCATAGCAAACATAACAGCTAACGCTAATGCCACCTTGCCAGCTTGGTGAGCAAGGTTCATCCTTAATTCACATTAACTGTGATATTCATAGTGATACTAATTTAACACTTTTTAGTTCCAACCTTAACTGCTACAGCTATTCAATAAACATGATACAACATGTCACGAAGACAGAGGCTAGGCTAGCAGTTCCCGCCTTGCTTCCAGTGTTTGTGCTAAGCTAAGCTAAACATGTTTTAAAATTATTTCTGCGCTTTAACATACAGATGTAAAATTTATATAATCCTCTCAACAAGTACCAGCTTTTAGGTTTCATTGTCAATAATCTGTCAATCCGGAACAGTTCGGGCTTCTACTTATTTGCTTGTGAGGGAAATGTGTTAGTAATTACAATGAATATTAATAGCTTAAAGTTTACAAAATGTGTCTATTTTCAGAGGATAACATTTGAATGAGCGTGATCCCATTCCGGTAGTCTTTACACTGGCTCAATATTTCTAAATGTACTCGTCTTAATGATGTCTATTTATTGTTAATGTTCAGGTTTTAAGTTGATGTTTTTGTCTTTTATTAGACCCCTCGTATACACTCCACGGTCCGACAACCCTTCACAGCGTTGTCCTGAATTTATACCAGAACAATGTGGCGTGTATAATGAATATTGTGAGCCTCATCTCACATCTCATGTCTGCGGTGGAAACAGGGTTCATCTGCTATGAGAGCTTGTTATCGGATTAATGCTGCTTAGAGCCGGCGCTCTGTGTTTACATTCACGTTCTTTTACATTTCTGAAATCCACGTTCATTTCATTTCATTGAGGAGCCATTAAAGCTTTTAAATAAGACTGATGATTACAACAGAATGATTCATTTCTTAGGGTGTTTCCAGGATAGAACTATGTCAAATATGTTTTTTGTTCTTTGAGTTTATTTATTTGTTCATTTCCAGATTAAGTTCCTTGAAAGAAGTGTTAAATCTCAATGACTGGAAAACTGACAGAAGAGTAAATATTCATGTACTATTGGAAACTTGAATTCTTTGACTGTTGAGAAATGTCCCGGACAAAAGGTCAAGGGGTCAATATAAAGTCATAGGATCTTCTCAGGAAGAGCGCTGGACTTTGAAGCAAATTTGACACGGCGGCCAAACGGTAGAATTACAACGTCCAGGTCATGTGACGCCATGTGGACCAACATGACGTTTTCCCATTGAGTCATATTGGGAAAGAGACGTCTGTAACTCGGCGGATATCTTTGTAATTTTTTTTTTCCGGTGAATGTCCATATGGTGCCGTCCCAGTGTTACAGCAACGACACATTACAGACATATTTTGACCCCTGTATGTTTATAGTGACACTGAACATCAAAATCTTGAATTGCTGGAATAAATGTGTGGAATTGAACAAGTGCGACTTGTTTTTGTACACTAGATCTGTAATAGCAGAATGAGTCGCCTTCTACTGAGTCTGGCTGAACACAGCTGCTGCTGTTCTTCGTCTGAATGTGCCTTTTATTCCGTTCCTCGGTGTGGAACCTCCTTTCAAACATTCGAGCCGTCGGGGAGCCACACACAGTCAGTGTGCGAGGAAGCTTATTGTTGTGTAACATGTCTGGAGTCTCCCGGTTTTCTGCCCACTTTGATGGCAAATAAAGTGTTCCTGGGTGATGTGTTGGTCTGTTTGATATTTATTAGTATGTTGTTGCTGATTCAAAGTCATTAGTTTCACAAGTATGTTGGCTATTTGATGAGTCTGAGTGTATTACAAAACATCTTTCATCACCATTTTTACAAATATTAACAGAAAGGAATCACCTGGTACACATAACAGCCCAACAGCCACAGAGGTTCAATCAGTCAATCAGTGGTGAAAGTATGTTTACTCAAGTATGTATTGAAGTACTTGAGTATTTGTATTTTCTGCTCCTCTATGCTTTTGCTCCACTACATCTCAGAGGTAGATATTGTGCTTTTTACTGAACTATATTTATTTGATAAATTCTGTTAATTTAGTTTCATATTAATACAGAAATGTATCGACACATAAATGAAGCTACCCAGCAGAATGTAAAGTAATTCAAATTAGTTCCACCTTTACCAGCTGCAACATTAATGTGATACTTATATTATTCCATTAATGATTATAATCAATCATATAATTTACATTATTAAAAAATGTACCATTCTGCGCAATGAGTACTTGTACATTCAGTTCTTTAAGTATATTTTGATATTAAGACTTTTATTCAAATTGTATTTTGAACACTGATCCGCTTTAATGTCTCACAGTATGTGTTACCGGCCCTTTAACCCTTGTGCTTATGCCTCGTTTTTGATTTTCAATGTTTTGATTATTTTGGCTGTGTTAATGTATATGGCATACGTTTTGGTGTGAGGTTTGGACGGTCAACCTCAGCTCTGATAATGAGTCTACAATATACAGACACTCTGACCCTTAAGGACAAAACTAGTCATAAAACCCATTAAGACCACGTTTCTGCTTACCACAGAGTAACAGCATAGAATCAATGTTGTTGCTAATCATTGACATATCGCAGACTTTGAAAAAAGATATGAAAAAACCCTAGCATTCAGTGTATGACAAATTATTACATGTTTGCGTTGTTTTGTTTTAATAAAAAACAACTGGCATTATGTAAACAAACACACAAGGATTCAATGACAGAATTGTTTAAAACCCGTTGGACCCGAGAGCCCCCCACGGGGGGCTGTTTTAGAGTGTGTAGCATTCAGCGTGTCGTAGAAAGCATTTTTCATAAAGAAATATGATTATTGCTCCAGACATATTAAATATCGAATTAATGGGAAAAGTCCGAGCAACATCATCATACCAGCCATTGTAAACACTGCAAACACAATTATACATGAACTAATATCATATCTGGAACATATCTAGAAGATTTGCCACAATTTTGGCCAAAAATCGACGACCTATGCTCACTCTATGGCTCTCTCATCACGGAGCAGGATCGCACATGGCGGATGAACACATGCAGGAGGGGCACGATTCGACCCGGAAACGCACAGTGGCGTCCAAATTACTCTCTTTCAAACCGTTCAAAAGTTATGGGTATGCATGCCAACATCAGCCGCAGGTCACGAGAAAAAAAATTGGGTAAAAAAACTTACGTTTTGGCGATGAAAAACGGATTTATTCCAGCCGATTTCTGCACAGCTCTGCCCGCCATGTTCTGCTGCATGTCTGTGAGTGAGATCAATGCGCTGGCGGAATGAGTCACAAAATGGCAGACGATTCTGTGGGGTGGAGCAATCCATGTAGAGAGGGGGGTTCGCCCTGCATTTTGCGATTTTTAGTCAGTAAACAGACCCGGATACGACCAAACACCCCCGCATGGCTCCCGTTGGACTATCCCACATCTAAAAAGCTCTCACACAATCGGCCTTACCAGGGTCACATAGACACACATTATGAGCCATTTATTGTTATGAATGACAGATATGACACATCATAACTGCTCAAAATTATTCAAAATGGTGTCAAACTGATTAATTAGGATTATTGAACACTCTTAGTGATAATAAAAGTGAATATATAGTTAATATTTAGTTATATAGTATATAAAATTAGTATACAGCAATGCAACAGCTGGTTCCGAAAATCAAAATTTTGATTTTTATGACCATTTATGCTGGCCTGCTTCACTCAATCAAAGTAAAATATGTTGTGGGGACATGTAAAACGTGTTGTACTATGTCTGTGGTGTATTTTTAGGCTTGCAGCTGCATTATTTTTAAAAAAAAAGTTCAATACAAGTGTTTTTTTTCAGGCGAACCTAGAAATTTTTCTATTTCAGCTGTGCCATAAGTGTATCAGTTATTAACCAGTAACACATACACAATATTTACACAATTCAACACATCTCACAAGTGTTACCAGTATTCTAGCATCAAAATTATTAAAATAGACCTTGTAGTTAGAGCTGGGGACTCTCTTGAGTATGGGTATGCAATTTTTGAGCAGAGGGCTAAAAATAGGGCTCGGTACCAGAAGGTTAAAACATTTAAGTCTGTAGAAGTATAAAAAGACATGTTTTATAGCACTTTGGGGGACATTTCTGTCCTCAAAGGTAAGAAGTGCGAGTATTTTTATGAATCGTTTTTCAATTCTGACCCTGCACAAGAAATTGAAATGCAATGTGCAATGTTGTTTCTAATCAGTCATATTCTGGACTGTGGAAAAATAAAAAAGTCCCATAGCATTTAGGATAATTATTTTTGAAAGTGTTAGAATTCTGAAAATATGTTTTTTTTTGTTAGTTATGATGAGGACTGATGTTGATTAAAAGAATTACCTCAGTAAAATTCATAATTTTATGGCAGTTTTTTGACGAAGACATTTTTGTCCTCTCAGGATGTCAGAGTGAAGGTTAACTGGCCTCTACTTTGTAAACTCGTCTTACTTGCTATGACGGCAGCTATTTAATGTGTTCTATGGGAAAGAACTGTCTCTCTACAGACCAGTGATGGTTGTGTGAGCTCTCATTGGATTTCAGAGGAAGTCCAGTAAAGAATGAAACTAAGTATAAAATAAACCAGATGCAGAATATGGATACATGATAAAAAAAATCCCTATAATCTGTATGAATGAAACCAATTTTTAACAAAGACAAACATACATTTTCTCTTTTTTTTTTATTCATTTCATTCCATAAATACACACACCCACACACACAGATTTCCACTTTTCTGTTCATTTAACATGCACATTGGACTAAAATTACATATTAAAAAGCATAAGTTAAGAAAGCAAAACATGGGCATATGAACAATAATTTTCACAACTCTCACAAGACTTCCTTCATTTCTGACGGAGTTTTATTCTTCTCAGGAGGCTGAAGAAGCCTCAGGACAGACGGGTCGCTTTGCAGGCGTTACATTCAGGCTACAGTTTGTCATCACATAGTAGTCACTTTGTCCTTTCTTTGGTGCTCTATGTTTGTATATGGAACAGCTGTAAGAGAAAGAAGGGATAAATATTAGAGAAAATGATCATCATCAGGGAGAATTTGACAGTTGAATCTGTCTGCAGACATTCAGATTATTATTAGGAGATTACGGATTTTTAAAGTAATACAAATACATTTAGCTACAAACATACACATTATATTTTTTTGGACAATTTCTCCTATTATATGGCTGTTAAAGAGTCAACTGGGGCCGTGTAGTAACAGTTGAAACAAAGGACAAACTCAACCATAACGCTGAAAATTAAATCAATATGAAAAGTAAATGAGAATGAAATTGAATTAGGATGCAAAGGGGTCAATGCAGCCTTTAATACATTTCTGTAGCGCATGATATCCTCCTGCAAATATACGAGCCAGCCTCTAATGCTATTAGCTCAGTCTATTACTATGGGGTCAGAGTTGTCACACTCAAATGTTGTTGTCTATTTTTACATGCAGTCCCGAGATCAGCGATCTGTTTGAGTATTATTCCTGTTTCTTAATTCTCCATGAACAATGATGACAGTTCTTACTTATGGATTTCATGCTGAGCTTTCTCTCCTCCCCCTTGTGATTCCTGCGGACAGAAAGAACCGAGGTGAGGAACGTCAAAATGCACGGGATTGATGAGTCATGGTGCGAGCAGGAGAGAGTGCAGTGGTTTTAGATAGCGAAGGTAGAGTGAAAGCAGTCAGGGAACCCTCCCCTTCGTGCTGATACAGCATGCTCCCAGAAATGCCCGCCAACAAAAAGGTGATGACACTGTCATTTTCTCTCACCCACTGTGAGATGACTGCTGCTTCTGAATTACATAAACTTGTGACCTGCAATGAAAATGACACTTTTATCTGGGCCTTGATGAGAGGGGATTCTGTTTCTGTTTAGCAGAGGACAGCGGCTGGGACGTGTCGGTCAGCAGTCATGACCCACAAACACACACACACACACACACACACACACACACACACACACACACACACGCACACACACACACACACGCACTTTATTCTCAAAATACTGACTTTATTCTCAAAATACTGACTTGAAATCAGAATTGATATTAAACTCAGAAATCTGACTTTATTCTCAGAATTTAAATTTTATTTCCAAAATTCTGACTTTATTCTCAAAATTCTTCATAATCACAATTCTTTCTTGAAATCGGAATTGTGAGATTAATGCCGAAGTTGTAAGAATAATTAAAAAGAAAATATTCTGACAAACTCAAAATATGGACCTTCGATTTATTCACAGAACTCAATCTTTGTTCTCCACATGTAGCCCTAACCCTCCTGCGTACACGTCCTCTCACACACAAATGCTTTGATATTTGCACAGAACACAATCAGCTGGGACTCACTTGGCTTTTCGTCGACAAGTGCACGCGACGGCGGTCACAATGATGACGACCACAACTGTGACCAACACCGCTATCAGGATGATCCACTTGGTTTCTGTAACGAACAACAATTACTTTAAACCGAAACTTTCACTCTTCATTTTTCTTTTTCCATCAAGAAAAGATAAAAGCCAATGAAATCTAATCATGACGTCAGAATCTTTGGATGGCATGACCTTATGTTTTTTTTAACAATGCAGCAGAAGTCTGAGGTAAATATCATAGTTTGACCCTGATGAGTGAAACAGACATACCCAGTCCTCCTCCGGTGTGTGTTATCTCCACCTCGCAGTTCGTTCCCTCGAAGCCCTCCTCACACTGACAGCTGTACGTGTTGTTGCTGACCTCATCACATTGGCCTCCGTTCAGACAGGGGGAGCTGAGGCAGGGACTCGCTGCAACACACAAGACAATATTACGTTTTTTGACGGTTTTGATCTTGTGTGTTATCAGTATAAATAATTGATACTTTTGTGTGCTATGAGGAAATGTTTCACCTGGAAAAATTTGCAAAAGTGTACATTTAAAAAAACAAAAACGTCACAGATTTTGCCATAATTCCTCTTTAGTTGTTCATGAGAAGGACTTGCATGGTGGCTAAATATGGGCTGAGTCCATGGGGTTTACACTGAAATGATATTGAGCGGATGATGAATGAATTTTATTTCCACGGAAGCACAAACACACACCTCTGTAGCAGTCCCGTGTGAAGTCGTAGATGGTGCAGACGAAACCGCCCTGGCAGGTCTTGGGCTGGCACACGGCGCCAGTGCTGGTGCACTCACACGCCTGGGAACAGTCCTCAGTCACGAACCTCTCCTTCAGCTGCGGGAAATGGAGGGACAGAGGTGAGGTGGAGGGTTGAAAGAGATCATCACACAATGACACACACACACACACACACACACACACACACACACACACACACACAGCCACTGCTGTAACTCCAGAAGGCCTCTTACGGTGTAATATCTGTTGAGGAAGGTGCAGCCACACTGCGGGTATGGCACGCAGATGCCCTCGCTCATGACGAAGCCCGCCGCACACTGGCAGCCCTCCATGCAGGAGGTGGCGTCGCACTCTGAGGGGGCCGCCAGGTCGGCGCAGGAGGCGGGGCAAGGTGACATGCAGGAGGAGTAGGTGCTGTTTGCACCACAGGACAGGACTGGAAGAGAGAGAGAGAAAGAGAGAAAGAAGTCACAACCAGGTGAAGCCAATTAGGAAGTGTCTTAAAACTGGCATTCTCTCTACTGACCATCAGAAGTCTACTTCTCACTTGATTTATTACCTCATTAAACATTGTGAACATGAGTTTATGGTCTCAAGCTCTAGTTCCAAGTCGTCTTCAATACAGCATGATGTTCATTTAGTGAATTATGGTCATTATGGCCATTCATTGGTTGCAAAAAAACATGGTGACGGCTGTAATCCAAGATGGCGACAGCCAAACCGTTGTACTCAAGGCTTCAAAACGACAGTCCACAAACCAGTGAGTGACATCACGATGACTATGTCCACTTCTTATACACAATCTATGGTAACAACCCTGTCTCATATGGGTATTGGCGGTTTCACTTGGACTTTTACAGTTCGGGTAATTTCAACAAGCTAGTTTTGTGTGTTTTTGTATACTTCACACACATTACAACAAACCACTTCACAAATCGTGGTACTGTGTTTTAGAAATGTGGATGCTTTCAGACCTCCATTGGCTTTCATTCATTTTTGTATTATTTTTTTTTTTTTAAACTTGCTTGAGCTGTGGCTTATTTTTATCAAAGTAATATTATTGTGACCAAAATAAATTGAAAATGGAAAAGCTGTTTGACATTTAACTTTTACCTAAATAACACATTCATATGTGGAAGATTATAACGCCATTGTGGAATGACATTTTCATTTTCAAGTTCATCATTTTAATAAAGTGCCCTGTGGGCCTCCATAGTCCTCCAAGAATCACTCCACCGTCGTTATTCCCACATGATGTGAATGCAGTGAAACTCTTTGCATTGTTCAGCATCTTACCACAGTCCAGCTGCTGCCGCCAGGGTCCCAGCTTGACTCCGGCCTCCTGACAGGTGGCAGCGTACGCTTCATAACTAGCACAACGCAGCTCCGCACTGCCATCCTCAGCACACAGGTCAAACACACAGTCACTGAGGGACAAACACACACAACAGTCAGATTACAATTTGAAGGAAGGACGTGAAGTGTATCATGTGTTGTGTACCAATTTAAACTGCAATATAACTCTCTCCAGAGGACAGTTTCAATGCACTCACGCACACACACACACACACACACACACACACACACACACACACACACACACGGACTACTCACTCCTGGTAGGTTTTAGGCGGCAGGGTAGCATGGCAGGAAGCAAACGGCCCCTTGGAGTCAGACAGCGCTCCACACTGAGCCACGCTGTTGTAGTCATTGAGCTGAGACTGAGAGCAGCCCGACGTCTCAAATCCTGAATCTGGATCGGTCTCCACCTCTCGCCTGGAGACAGATGGAACAGACAGAAAGGATGGAGAGGACGGAGGAAATAGAAAGGATTAAAGCTGCTGTCTTAACATTCTCAATGACTGCATACCAGATTACCATGAACCCTTAAGTCAAGAGATTATGATTGCCAGAGATTGTGGGAATCTTCTGACCCTTCCTCTTCCACCACGATATCCATTTGACCTACACTTTGGTCCATGACAAGATATCTCTAACACTAACATAACACTTAATATTGCTGTGGATATTCAAGCCCCCAACATAAAGACCCTCACCTGTGGTAAAATATTAAAAAATAAAGTTCTTATTATTATTATTTTTACAGCCTTCTTTAGTGAGTGGAACTTGCTCATGTGTCATAATAATAAATCATAAATAAGGACAGCGGTAAAAGTATGGAATTGTCAATCCTGTCTACTATCCTTTACTGCTTTGTCTTACATTTTAAAGTAAATTTTTACTTTTAATTTGTCTTTATTTAGATATTTATTCATTTTCTTTAAACTTATTTTCTTAATTCAGTGATTTTACTTATATTTAATATCACTATTGCTATCTCTCTGTTATTTCTAGTTATTTTTAGTTATTTATATTTTCATATTTTGTATCTCTTTATTCATATTTAATAATTATTATCGTTATTATCATCATTATTGTTATTATTGTTCATTTTAAAACAATTTAAAAATTAAGTATTTTTCTACTTAATATTTATTATCTCCATTACTATCTCTTCCGAAAATGGGTCAATAAATAGAATCTCTATGCTCATGAACCCGACTATTTGTAAAATCCATAGAACATGTGTTTCCTGCTACAGCAGGGGCCCTGGTAGTGGACCTACCTGTGAGCGTGGGCAGTGTGAGGAAGGTTGAAGATCTTTAGTGCATCCGCCTGTCGGTCACTGACCCTCCAGCTCTCTCCGAACGTGTTCAGGTTCCTGACCACGATTCCATCCGGCGTCATGTACTCATTTCTGGTGATGCCGTCGTAGTTTCCACACAGCCCCCTGACAGAGTTCTTATAGGTGCTGGGCAGTATGATCTCTGATACACAAACAGAGAGATGGATGAGGGGGGCGGGGGGTGAATGGATTCACAAACGAGCCAAAGTCAGTTAGCGAGGGCCGAGGTTTCGTCTTCGCTTACCTCCGCGACTTTTGCCATCGAAGCGTACAGTGAGTCCGAAGTCGGTGGTGAGCTGGACCTGCCTGGAGTTCATCGTGATGGTCAAACCATCAACTGGAATGAGAGGAGGTGCAACACGCTCTCCGTTCACCTAGAAGGGATACCGTATAATTTCACTGTTTGCTTTTTAACGCAAGCAACAAAGAAAGAGGCTTTAATAAGACAAAGACAAACTACTGACCAGGATGTTCTTCTTCTGCAGGAAGCGGACATTGACGCCGTAAACGTCAACGTACATCTGGTCCAGGAACGACACCCTCCTGTTCCCCCCGCGTCTGATGTTTTTTCCCCGCACCACGAGGGGCGACAGGGAGTTCTGCAGGTTGTGGCCCTGAGTCAGGACATAGGTGTAGGGGCCCTGGAAGTGATGGGTGAAACCATCGAAGGTTCGGTGGTGAGGATCCCCAGAGACGCTGCACTTGTCGAACTCTAGAGGATGATGTAAATGAAACGGTCAAAACGGGTTATGATTTAAACGATACTTACATTTTTTTTATGTTTAAAAGTCTTCAAAACGTCCACTGCATAGCTACAACATGTTGGGGTATCACAGGGGAAGCCAGTCAGAGTGACTCACTGGTGGGTTTGCAGTAGACGTCTCCATATTTGTCCAGGCCACACACTGAGTTGGAATTACAGCTGTGGTCCTTACACGTGATTTTGCCACCGAGGTTGCAGGTACATAAACCAGTACATTTATCTGTCAGCCACGAGTCTCCCACCTACACACACACACACACACCCACACATACACACACACACACACACACACACACACACACACACAGAACAGACTTGTTTACATTTAGAAACACAAAGATATATTGCAACGTGTAACAATCTTTACTTTAATTGCCAAGCATGGAGGGATTACTGAACGGACAAAATGTCGGGGACCACCATGACCACAAGGACCCCAAAGTTGTCCAAGATAAGAAATAAATTAGACAAAAGTAGAAAGTGTTCTATGACACCACATCCTGTTTAGGCGCACTCGGCTCCACTCACATCATGGTACTCTGAGTCTGAGTCCAGGCAGCCACATTTATCCAGAGGAACACAGTTGTTGTCACTGAGGACGTAGCCGGCATCACACTGGCAGCCCTCCACGCAGGCCGTCGGCGGGAGGTGGCAGAAGATGGGGAAGAGGTCGGAGCAGGTGGGGGGGCAGGGGGCGGTGCAGTCTGAGTAGTGACTGTTGGTAGGGCAGGGCAAGGCTGCAGGGGAGGGAAAGACAATTATCAAAAGATCACTCGACAACAATCTTTTATTTAGCCTGTTGATGAGCGTGGCCGGAACTCACGACAGAAGGTGTTGTTCCTCCAGCTGATGGTGACTCCGGCGCTCTGGCAGGCCTGAGCGTACGCCTCCACGTTGTCGCAGAGCGTCGCCTGCATGCCGTCGTACTCGCACATGTCGTAGATGCAGTTACCCAGGAAGGCCTCGGGGAGCACCAGCGAGTGGCAGGGCTTGAAGCGGTCGGAGAGGATGACCTCGGCACACTGAGCCTCGTACAGCTTCTCTTCCTCGGCAGTGCAGTCGGGGTGCACGTCTGGACGAGTGTCTGGCTGGCAGCTAGAGGGGAGAACGTAAAAGTATAAAAAATCAACATGCATATGTTGATCATATCCGAGCTCAGACTATCCACATCATCACAGTAAACCATGTGTGATGGCTGTGAGCCACTGACCCAGGATCACTGTCCCCATCGGATTTCCAGCTGTTGCCCAGTTCAATCACATCCTTGGCTGGTTTCTTGTTGGGCATCAGGTTGTCATCCGAGGAGTTGTGGTTGTAGTTCCCGCACATGCCGCACAGCTGGAGAGGAGTAAATCGAGCAGGGTTATTTCAAGCTCTTTGGTTTTCTGACTTGACGTGGAGACATTTGGACAATAAGATGGGCCTTATGTCTTCATACCTTGTTGAAGTATTCTCCAGGAACCGTGATCTCCAGGTGATGGACGCCGTCGAACTTCACGCGCAGTCCAAAGTTTGTGTCCAGCAGACTGTAGGATCCACTGGTTATCACTTTGGCTCCGGCCACGTCTATGGAAACTGGCGTTCTCACCCGCCGTCCATTCAGCTAAGACAAGACAGACACCAGTTAGTCGTTGACCATTTCATTAGGCTACCATTAGTGTTTTGCTACAGAAGGCCTGAGAGGAAAACAACATTCTGGTGATCAATTTTCTAAGTCTGAAAATGGATCAACAGAATGTTTTTTTTGTCTTTTGCTTCTCAGGGCTTCCGTAGTTTTCTGCGGCGAATATAATTTATACATTTAAAAAAGAACACCGTTCCTTACCAGAACTCTGCGGCTCTTCTGCAGTTCCACCACAGTGTCGTGAGGCAGGTAGACCTTGACAGAGCGAACATAGGAGGCCTCTGGTTGACCACGCTCCTCATTTTTAGCCACGATCTTGAAGGGCGTTACCTTGGTGGTGTTACACACCTATGGGATTCAGAAAAAACACTCAAACAACGTGCTTTTACGTGTCCTATTATTTCAGAATGCACAAACAGATGTTTATCAAGTTGAAATAGAAATTTCAAGGTGAAACTCCCACGTACCTCCACCAGAGTGTAAGTGCAGGTTCCCATGTAGGTGTGCATCACACCATCAAAGGTGTAGTAGTGAGGATCTCCAGCCACGTGACACACTCCTTTACCTGAGGAGGGAAAACAAGTAATGAACAGAACCGCAAATATTCTCAAAATGTTCTTTGTTGGTGAAAGGTGCAGTGCATTTTTGGCCCTCCAGTCCGTCTCACCTGTAGAGTGGCAGTCCAGCACTCCCTCCACGACTTTACACTCCTGTGCAGGGCTGCACTGCCAGGGCTCGCAGGTGATGTTGTGGTTGCCGTTACAATTGCAGCGCTCTGAGCAGTCCGTCTCTGTGAACCAAGAGTCTCCCACCTGCAGGCATTGTGCACAAATGAGAAATTCAGCGCACGCTCAAATGGGTCTTCTTGCAAAAAGAATTCTCCGCCTGAGGCGCACGCTTACCGGTCTGTAGTGTCCGTCTGCGTCGGTGCATCCACACTCGCTGAGCGGGACACACTTGTCTCCGCTGAGGACGAGGCCAGGGTTACAGACGCATCCCTCCACGCAAGGCTGGTTGCAGGAGCCGCCGGGGGCCGCGGGTTCCTGGCAGCTGGGCTGAGCGCAGGCAGGGCCGCACGGGTTGTAATGGCTACCTGGGGCGCACTTCAGAGCTGGAGGGAGGACAGATGGACAAGGGATGTTTGAAGGATGTTTTGTAAAATACATGTGTTTTTTTCCCCAAATGTAAAGTGAAACGTCACACTAGCAACTCTAAATTCTGCCAAGGATTTCATGACTGATAAATCCTGTGTCAGTGTGTCCTTGATATTTCATATCAAGAGGCAGGATATCCAGATATCCAGGCAGGATTTTTAAAAAAATACATTTTTCATGTAAATGAACCTTTTCTCTTACCCTCCTACCCCGGTTTCGTATTCGTATTCGTATTTTTCCCTTTTTGTTACCTACACCTTATACGCAGTCCTAGGTCACTGTGGTCACAAGTGGAAAATACATGAACGAACTTTAGCCGAACAAGCAAAAACTGTAACTGTGGTTTTGGTAATAAACTCAGTAAGGACATGACACACTGCTAGTTCCTCTTCGTTTTCCACACACTCGCAGCAGACTTACGACAGAAGGTGTTGTTCCTCCATGCGATGGGGACTCCTGCAGCAGCACACATGTCGGCGTAGCTCTCTATGGCCTGGCACAGAGCCACGGTCTGGCCTCCGGTCGCACACATGTCGTACATGCAGTTTCCAAAGTACGGCTCCGGGGGCACGACGGAGTGGCAGGGCTGAAAGAGACCTGAAGACCAAACGCACAAGAGACAAACTGATTTCACTCAATGACCACTTTCTCCATGGCAACAGGTTACTGTGTGTGTGTGTGTGTGTGTGTGTATGTGTGTGTGTGTGTGTGTGTGTGTGTCATACCATTGGGATCCGTGATCATGCCGCAGCTGGTGGGCTTCTTGGCCTCCTCCTCCACGTCTTTATCACAGTCCTCCTGTCCTCCACCATTGGTGCAGCTGGAGAAGAGGCAGAGGATTTATTAGATTGGAGTGAAGCGATGATTTTTGTAGTGAAGTACGTATTTTTGTATTGCGTGACGTGACTCACTCGGGCCTCGGGTCAGGAACCTGCCAGCTGTCTCCCATTTCGTTGGTGTTAGCAGCTGGTGTGTTGTCTGGCTTCAAGTTGTCGTCTTTGGAGTTTCCATTGAAATTTCCTGCCGGGGAAACAAACATTATGGGCTGCCTGTGTGATAGTATTTTGGTTGGCCGGGTAGTTTTGGGTCAGAACTAGCTGTCACCACAAAACTTGGATTGGAATCCGTTGTTGTTAAAAAGACATTTCAGATTCCAATTTCAGAAGTATGATGTTTATAACAGCCTGAAATGGGACATGACTGCTTCTTACCACACATGCCACAGAGCAGGCCGTTGTAGGAGGTTGGCACGGTGACGTCGGCGTGGTGGTTGCCGTCGAAACGCACCCTCAGGCCGAAGGACGTCTCCAGGACGACGAACTTGCCGCTCAAGTAGATTTTGACTCCGCCGATGGAGGTGACAGGTGGGACGACCGCCGTCCCGTTAACCTTGAGGACACGGAGACGTTTATTCTGAAGGTGAGCAAAGAGTGTCTGTACGTGGAGGAAGTCATTCCCCCGGGGTTGTGCCCCCATCCCCCTGATTTAACCAGCAAAATTCTCAACATGAATTCCCCAGGCTCCAAGATGATTTCTCCAAAGACATTTACAATTATTGAAGACTAAAAAAACAGTAAACATTCACACCGAAGAAGACCATTTTGGGCATCATTGCTACAAAAACCCCAGAAGAGATTTCTCCGAACCAGAACCAGCTTCTCCGTCAGCTAACATACCTGGACTGTGCGGCCCTTGCCGAGGACGAAGGTCACCCCGTTCACGTTGACCACCACAGCCCTGACATAGGAGACCTTCTTATTACTTCCCCTGTGCTCATTCTGCGTGTCCACGCTAAAGTACGGCAAGCCAGAGGAGACGTTGCAGGGTTTGGACAGCGTGTAGGAGCAGGCTCCCATGTAATGGTGGGTGTGCTTGTCAAAGGTGGTGTAGTGGGGGTCGCCAGATACTGAGCAGATGCCATTTCCTGAACAAGAGAGCATTATTTATTTAAATATATTATTTATCAGTATATTATTATAGTAGTAGTAGTAGTATTTGGCAAAAGGCATTTCCATATCTCATTAAGCGCATCAACTCTTTTTCGCAAAATTGACGTTTTATCGACTTTTGTCGTTTCAATACAGCTTTTCGAATGCGATACTTCAAAATCTGCATAGAAATATGTGAATGGTGTGTTTTATAGTGTCAGCTTTGTGTGTGTGTGTGTGTGTGTGTGTGTGTGTGTGTGACATACCTAAAGGACGACATTCGTATTCTCCGTCCTGCAGCTGGCAGCTCTCAGTGGTGGGTTTACAGCTGCTGTTGTGACACTGAATCAAACCTCCACTGTGACACACACACTTCTCCTCGCAGCCCTCCAAGTACCAGTTTTCATCCACCTGACAAACACACACACACACACACCAAATATGCACATTATACATATGTGGCAAGCCCTCACAACAATGTGGTAAACTATAACACTTTATTGTTGAGTATGTGCTTAAAACATTGTTCATGCTTTAACAGTGGATACCAGCAACGTATCATTACTCATGTTTCCATTCAAATATTGTGCAAAGTTGTGCGCGAATTATTTGACTAGAATACAGTAGAATCACTGTGACTTTGTGATTTAGGTCACATGAACGTAGTTCCCACTCACAGGGTGATAGCTCCCGCTGGTGTCCACACAGCCACAGTCCTTCAGCGACACACACTTGTCGTTGCTGAGGATGAAGCCCGGGTTACACTCGCAACCCTCCACGCACACGTCCTCGCAGCCGGGTGACCCGACCACACCCAGACATGTCTCGGGGCAGGAACTGGCACACAGAGTGTAGGAGCTATTGGGAGGACAGGCCAGGGCTGCATGGAGATGGAGATGATGAAGACAAGGATGAAAAGATAAATGTTAAGGTTGTTGGAGCTTTGACCCGCCTAGAAGACAAACGACAAACACGCTGAAGACTTACGACAGAAGCTCGGAGTCCTCCACTGGTGGACTTTGGCTCCGGCGCTCTGGCAGGCGTCGGTGTAGGCCTGGAGCTGGTCGCACAGGACGCGCTGCTGGCCGTTGAACTGACACATGTCGTACACACAGCTCTGGAAGAACGGAGTGGGATTCACCACACTGATACACTCCCTGGAAGCAGAGGAAGAACACTCAGATGGTCCAGCAAAGCTCAACCAATGACACGCTGCTGATTTCACTTGGAGCATCTTCTTAATCGTTCCTTAAAAAATGTAATTCTAAGCAACCAAACCTCAGAGAGACATTTGACAATTAGGCACTCGAAACATTGTCATGAACTGAATAGAAAGAAATATACAAGGGTGCTTCTACCACACCACACACTGTAGTTTATTTAGCTACAGTAAATGCATATAAAAATAAAATACATAAGTGTGTGTGTGTTTGCTTTTGGGTTCAGAGTCCAATTCTGTCCATGTGATGTTCCAAGAACAATGTATAACTGTAATCTGAAATAGATAAATCAGATAGACTGAACCAATAAACATAATTTGAGAACACTGGGACCGGTGTCAGCATCTGCAGTCACACCCTCTAACTACACTCTGTCCACGGTGGGTTATCTGATGCACATCCATCCCCCGCCAGCTAAATAAGTGCTGACGCTGCTGAGAACAGAGCGATGTCGATTTTAAAGTGAACAGCTAAAGCTTGATACAGAAAAATAAAATTTCACTGAAAAGGACTTAAATAGATATACTGACAAACTTTACCACAATATTTCATACCAGAAAGCCCGACTTACAAACTGGATGAGTGGAGTTTTATCAGGAATAAGAGACACTACTGAGATGCATCAAGGATAGGTTGTTACAGTTGGTGCACTGTTGGAGCAGGTAGGAATAAAAAGTCCTCTCTCACCTGAAAGGTCCAGCGGGGTCTGTGATTTTGCCACATTTGTCTGGTTTCACCACCTCGGCCTCGAGCTTGGGGTCACAGTCCGGGTCGGGCTTGGTGCCTGGGCTGCACCTGATCAACGCAAACACAACAACAGGGTCACATCCCATTTCGCTCATCCTCGTGAATCGTGGCACTGTCAATTTTTTGACATTTTTTAAATGTATTTATATATTTAGAAAATATAATAATGTTTATGCAAAAAAAATATATTTGTATGTGTTCAACTGAATGCATGTACAGATTAGCATCTAGTCACATGTAGTTTAGTCACATGCTTGGACTACATGTGACTCCAGGGAAGTTCGTAGGAAATCCTTAAATTCTCAGCATTGAAACGAGTGCGTGGAAACTCACGAGTCATCCTCATCCTCCTCCGTTTGCCAGCTGTTCCCGAAGTCGTTGACATTTCCCACCAGAGTGCCATCTGGCTTGGTGAAGTCGTTGCCCGGGTTGCCGTCGTAGTTGCCGCATAGGCCGCACATCTGGTCGTAGTAGGAGCTGAAGACAAGGAGAAAACGTGTTTAAGAGATGAGGAGGGATGTCTTAAGAAGGCTTAAAAGGTCAAACAGTGTTTGGCCCGTTAATGGAATCCAAGAAACAAAGAGACAAAACCAAGAAATCTCTTCATCTGATACTATGTCGGGGCATCATCAATGGAAGATATACAGTATAAGCAAAGTATTAAGAATGTTGGAGGATTTATTCGAAATAGCAGATCTGTATGACCTTTGAAATACAGCTTTATAGCTGAGTTCTTGCGCAGTTTTCATGACATACACCGAGATTAAACTTTGACCTTTTGCCGTTTATAGCATCGTATACTATTTGCTGCACACGGCCCACATCGTTCTGTCTTTCAGGGTGTTTCCACTGCTTCATGTGTCTAAAGACTTGTCGTGTTCATCATCCCAGCAGCAGAAATGGGGATTTAGAACGGATTCACAGCTACATAAAATATGAAAGTATGCACGTGTGTCGAAAGAAGGAAAGCCCATAGGGCAGGTGAGTGAAGTGGTTGGATGGGTCAAACAAACATATAACTTTCACCCAGGAGACCGCTGTTTGTGTGAAACCGAAAGTCATTTTTGACATTTATGTTACCTTAGTTTTGCTACGTAACGTCTGTACTTTACCAACACCAGTTATGTAACAAATGTAAATATTTTACGATATAGACTTATTTTAACCCAAACCACAATCTTTTCCTAAACCTAACCAAGTAAACCTAAAAACTACAAGTTAACCTCTGACGTTAAAAAGAGGCTGTATGCATGTAACCAGGGCAAACTGTACGCTTCCTGTGAACACAGAAGTTTGTTTTGAAATGACGCGATGCATGTTACGACCCGAAACTGACTCATCATCCCCGTTACATCCATTGACTTTCTTCTGGCCTCATTTTTCTCTCTCTGTGTTTCAGGTCTGCCACGCCCCCTTTCAGTGCCTGGAGCGCCCACACCTGAACGTCATCAGTGCGGAGCCGCATATCAACCCCCAGAACCAGTGCTCCAGCGCATATTGGCCTTTGAGCTGATTCTTCCTGCTGAAAGTCCTTATAACAGCTCTATTCTAGTTATCTTTTGTCTTGGCTGGCTAGTTGCTAGAGATGCTTTGTTTAACCAGTCTGGGTAACTTTGGGGAAGTCTTGTCGGGGCTCTCTGACATGTACTCTGCTATACCTGTTTGTTCCTGTTTTCTGGTTAAGTAGGGAGTTTAGAACAGTTGTTCTGTTTGTTGCGGTAGACCAGTTGAACTTCTTATTTTCCAGTTAGTGTGGGGGTTTCGTTTATTATTTTGGCCTTGGAGACCCTGACGTCTTTTGGTTGGTTAATTTATTTCTGTTGATCTTTCCGTCTCTCTGTTCATTGTTACTCTTAAAGTGTTCCAGCAGCCTTCTCTTTGAAATTTTGGCTACATTTTTGCACAGTTTTTTTTGTAAACTTGTTATGTTACTCCCTGTGTTCCCTTGGACATAGTATATAGGACGTAACAGTCCCCGACACGCTCACGTTGGGAGTGAGAGTGCTAATTTCTTCCTTGATTATCAATGAAAAAAATAGGAAATACAGACAGAAGTCACCTGCTGTATGTGTGTTAACATTTTCCCAAAACAAAATAAAAGCCTTAAAAAAATGTCACATGAACGCATGCGACCAAGGGGTCGACCTCTGACCGACCTGGGGACTGAGATCTGGGCGTAATGGTTTCCATCCCAGCGCACCCGGAGGCCGAACGGCGTCTGCAGGGTGACGTACTGACCGGCAAGAGTGAGGGACATGAGCGGAGAGGGGTAGTGGGGGAAGGCCACTCGCAGTCCATTAACCTGAAAAGACAACATGAAGACGGTGATAAAAAAGCAACAACAGGTACACTTCATATTCAAGCTTTCCACATTTGACACGTGAATAAAAACCCCAGCACACGGGGATTTAAATCTCTGTGAAAAAAAACCCGTGGACGGGTCAAACAGATGAGCATATGAGACGATGAGGAGGAGGAGTGTGGACAGATTTCTGGGATTATGGCATTAAAAAGAGATAAAAGTCAGGGATAAGATCAAATAAAAAGGCGAGGAGAACAAAGGGCAGACTTGTAATTTCACTGAACCAGATGATTAAGATGCAGAGAGAGTGATACAGCTGGTGCGTGTGCCGCACATCTGTGTACACATGTCGTGCCCTGTCATCCTCCTGTGATACCGACAGCTTGTGAAATGACATTTATAGACACAGAATCCATTGTGCGCTGCTGTAAATGTTGTCCCCACTGACCAGAGTCCTCCTGGCCTTCATCAGGGTCACAGTGATTCCGTTCACAGTGACGTAGAGCTTCCTCAGGTAGGACATGCCTGTCACTCCTCTCTCCTCATTCTTCCCCTCCACTGAGAACCAAGGACCTGCACAGGGAGCGTACAAACACGTCAGTCCGCTCCGTTTCTTAAACCGCATGACAATTTATCGCACTAAATGTCTAAAAAAGAATTTCTTTTTATACTGTTCAAGGATGAACTGTGCAAAAAGTTGGATGGGTCAGACTAATGGTTATTTTAAAGTATCATGTAGTTGTAGTGCCACCTCCTGGTGTCAGGACCACTTGAAGAGGACAATGCATTTTAAGAGCTGCCGCAGGTCAAACATTTTGCAACAAGTATAGACAAAAAAATTATAATTTATGACAAAAATAAATACATCTGGAAATGAAATAGAGTTGTCTGAACCTACCAGTGCTGTTCCTGCAGGTTCGGGCCAGTGTGTAGGTGCACGTTCCCATGAAGCTGAAGAACTTCTTGTCAAATGTGTTGTAGTGAGGATCTCCGGACACCACGCAGTCCTGAGAGCCTGAGAGAGAAAGGGACAAGCGCCAGACATCAGAATACAATGCAGCAACTCATCATTTTAAGAAGAAGAAGAAGAAGTAGAATGGTTATTCTTTTAACTCGCATTAGGGAGCTGTTGTTCCGTGTGGTAACCAAAAGAGACCTGATTATGTTCCAGAAGTATGAAAACCTCAATGAA